ACCAACACGTGGTAGTGGCACGTGACCACCTGCTACACCAACACGTGGTAGAGGCACGTGACCACCTGCTACACGAACACGTGGTGGTGGCACGTGACCACCTGCTCCACCAACACACACGTGGTAGTGGCACGTGTACAAATTATTGATCAGAATAAATTCTGATTAATAATTGATCAGAACATATTCTGATAAATAATTTGTTGCATTGTAACGTTGTCCATTCTGGAGAGAGGCTGTCGAAAATCTAATTTTGGATATTTAGGGCACTGTGCGCATTTGCATAAATGGACACACGTGTGTGCATGTGTGCGTGCGTAAGACACACTCACACGTCTTGAGTGCGCGTGTCAAAGACAAAGAACCCCCGTATAGCCTTAACAGACTCTTGGGGCAAGTGCTGTTAGCAAGCACCTATGAAAGATGGCACAGCACACGAGGGGGTGGGTGGCCAACACCACGCCTGGCCGCCTTTGTCTCTTCAGTGGCGACTTTTTTTACACACCGCAACAGGCACTCATTTGAGGTTGAGTCGACCTAGAGGAGGCCCAGGACCGATTTAAATAATCCTCACCGGTATTGGCCGTGAGCGGAAATCAAACTCGGGTTGCCCGGGTTCTTAGCGCAGCGCGCTAACCGCTGCGCCACCGCTCCCCGCACGTGTCCGCGTGCGCACACTCGACTCGCACGTGCGGTGTGAAGGTGCGATGTTTTCCATTTTAAGGCTGTGAAATACGTTTCACACAATCGTCGCGACGGCGTGTCAGCCCCCCGCGGGCCGCTATCGCTCTGCATCAACAAGGCATCACGACGTCGTCCCCGCGGGGAAATGCGGCTTGCTTCTCTTGCGAAGAAAATGTACGAGGAGGGCATTTGAACCCCCCCCTCCCTCCTCCTCCTGGACAGCCTGGGCGATGTGTAGTGCTCAGCAAAGGCCAGTGACCCCCATCTCATGCTCGAGTTCGTGATCTGGATGTTACTGCACGTTCTCCGTGAAGCGTTTCAAGAACACGCTGGGTTTCCATTCACCCTTTCCCGTTCGCCGCCGAATCGTGGAATGCGCAAGCGGTTCAGGCGTTAATTTTGTTGAGAGAGGCGTAGAAGCGCCGTTGTTTTTAAAGACGTTGCTCACCGCAGAGAAGCACAGCGACACGAGAGCCAGCGCCAAAAACCGTGCTGCGCGAGCTCCTCGCACGGCCTTGTGGGAGCCTCGGTATACACCGATGAAGTTGCTTTACGTCGTCGGAACGAGAATGGGTTAAGAAGCAGGGAAAATAGGGAGGGGTGTCCACGCGGCTCAAGAGGTCAGAGCGCCGCTCCAGCCGTTACTAAGGAGATCCGGGAGTTCGAATCTCGCTCGCCACAACATCCCGTGGCCAGAGAGGAGGCTCGCAATGAGCGTGGCGAGTATGACGGTCTCGGCACGGTCACCGTTGACTGCACGCCAAAACGAAAAGCCGCTAGCAGCCATGATTCGTTTGCTGCTGTGATGAAGCCCTCCTCTCCGCCCCCCCACCTCCGTCTCTCGTGATCGTACAATAAGAATAAGAATAGTAAATACTCCTAGCACCTAAACAAACAAAGAACCAAAAAATACCCATGCACGTTAATTTGATTCTGATATTATTTTTGGCTAAATTCTAGCTCTGACAAAGATGTCAGGTTGACATTTGCGCGATGAATGTTAGTTAGTGTCGGTGGCCGAGCGGGTGGGGAAATGCTGCCCCCCCTACCTCCTCCTCCTCCACATTTCAAATCAACATCGCGTGTTCAGAGAGTTTGGCTGCTGTAAATTTCCACTCCGTTGAGCTATCATTTAGGGTTTTTTTATACAACGCGGACTAAAGGTTTGAGTTATTGTGCCCCCACCGTTACGGACGAACGGAGCTCAAGCATCAACGTTCTCAAGCTTAGAAAGCGTTTAAAAGTCAGGTGGAAACCCAGTGTGTCTGTCCTTGTTTGAGCACCACATTACCATGTTTGACCCCAGGGAGCAACCCGATTTTTTTACTGGAATAGCCCGGCCAGACAAGCCAAAATTGGCCCTGGAAACGAGGCTTCAATCCACCCCATGTGTGTGCCCACTACGGGTTTTACAGTGCGCCAGCTCACACGCTCAATTCCATAACGACTCGTCACAATTAACAACTGCAGCTTAATTAGGCACATGGAAATGAAACTAGCACTGCGACAATTAGCGTATCAGCATGACAAATAATTATCGTTACGCCCCTGGACGCACAACGAGCCGATATAAAAACATGCCCGTCACTTTCGCGACCCGCTAATTTACACTGATATGTAATGTATCGTTAAAGCAAGTCAGTACAGTTAAAATCAGTGATCGTGTAAATTGCAACTTAGACAACACTGAGCAGCATATGGTTAAGTAATCTGTTCCCTATCCTTCCAGTTAATAAGTTAAATGCGCTAACAAAGTGCTACGCAAAGCCACCGCAATAACACTGAATTCATCGATAAAACATTTAAGGCTTCGCGACTTAAGCGTTAGGCTACGTCATTTCAGTCATGCGCTCGCAAAAACACAGGCAACCCACGCGCGCGCAATGAGAGACTTGGCACGGGCAATAAACAAAAACGAAACGCGCGAACGATTCCAATCCGAGACGATATAACCGTGTGCTTCCCTTGCCCAGACGGGGAGGTTGGAGTGGCTAAGGTTTGAGTGGCAGTCCTCTGGGTGAGGGCCTCCCCCACGCCACGCCGCCTACCGTGGAGCATTACTTTAGACCATACTTCGCCACAGCTGGTGAGCGAGCATTTAAGGCGAGGGAGCATAGACGTGGGCGCACGCGAGTACAGCACGACGGATTGTGCCACACCGCCCCCCTCCGTTGTCATAATTGATTTTTGGTTTTGGCCACCGTAACGGCCTGGCCAAATTTCTATCGTACGAGCCTCCACCACCTGACGAAACCCAGACAAATGAAACTGGCACACGCACAGGCGCTGAACAATGGGCCAATTATTACCGTTACAGCTTTCTCACCGGTGAGCTGAAGGGACAATTTTCACAGTCACCCAAAAATATATATATTACGAATAATAATATTATTATCTACGTGTTGAGTCAATAGGAATGTGTGTTGATCAGAGTGGAATGCACGGCCCTGGCGTTACAATATTTAAACACGTCACTTGAGCATCACGGCTGTGTCTCGTCTGCAAAGTAACACCCGGACCGTCCAGGCAAACGAGAGCACGTGTAATAATCTTAGGTTTTTTCGGTAAAGTCACGTAGGTAAAAAAATAATAGAAATAAAATAATAAATGAAAATAAATCAATTAAATCACTTTTATTATTACTTTATTTCTATTATTTTTTACCTACGTGACTTTACCGAAAAAACCTAAGATTATAAATCCTTGCAGTCACGAAAGCTTCAAATATAGAAACACGTGCAACAACTTCACTGTGGCGTCGCACGCCTGTCAACCCCGCCACTTTCGGGGCAAGGGTTTGTGGATGACGCGGACATTTGTGAAAGTGTCTCTCTCAATCTCAGTATTGGTGAGTACTTGATTGAGGCTGCCTGGGAATAACAAGTGTTACCGGCTCGGGCCACAAGGTGGCCAGGATATAGATGAGCAGTGAGTGGCTTTGTGCCAGAGGTCGCAAACGGGTTTTAATTCCTTACCCGTACCCGTACCCGGCCGCACCAGGGTCGCAAACTGGTACCCGTACCCGTAGCCGGCCGTACCCTATACCCGTACCCGGGTAAGGTACGGGTATCGGGTACCTGATTGCGACCTCTGGGATGAAGCCATGTTGCAGGCGCGGGTGGGTTAATTCTAGGAACTTGAATTGTGAGAAGAGACAAGACGTTGGGAAATGAGTGACAAACAGTTACTCACCAGTGACTCACGGCCTACCCGTACCCGGCCGCACCAGAGTCGCAAACGGGTACCCGTATCCGTACCCGGCCGGGTACGGGTAGCCGGGTATCGGGTAGGGTACGGGTATCGGGTACCTGGTTGCGACCTCTGCTTTGTGCGCCCGTTTGTATCGGGACCTTTTGAGTGGTATCCCCTCATATCTGTCGGTTTTTCTCCAAGCAATCTCAGTTTCCTCACACACAAAGTGTACATACATTTGATTTAAAAAAAGGAATTGGCCAAACATCCAAATGCAGCACCCTCCTGAGAAATGATCTTGAGACTCAGTGAGGCTTCCCCCCGCCAAATTGCAATGTTTGGCCAATAACATTGAAAAGTGGCTTCGCGTGGGATAACTTCAGAGTGCCCGGAGAAAACAAATACGCATGAGGGGAGTAACACATGACCAGTACCGTGTGCAATCTCCTAGCCAGTACACAGCTGCCTCATGCCGACATCATGCGGCAAGTCATGGTGGGTCACCCATTTAAGTAATAACCAGGCCACAAATGAACCAGGATGCCTTGCTGATCTCCTCAAGGAGCATAAACCATCATCACGCAAACTCTGGTCATCCTCGCAGAAGCGGCCTTTGGCTGGCCATCAAAAAAAAACGGTCACCGCATCACGCGCTTTCAGATGCGCTTCGGAGGCCGTCTGGAATGCTCTTCGTTCACGTATTCAATCTAGATTGAAAACTAATATGTTTAGAAATTATTTTAGTGTTTTAGTTTGTTGTTCTTCCCCCTGCAACCTCCCATTATCACGGTTGGCTAAGTACGGTGCGAAAGAAGTTCAACATACGTTAACCTTCGATTTAAAGCTTTCGTGACTGCAGGGATTCATCTTCTTAGGTTCTTTCGGTAAAGTCACGTAGAATGGAAATAATAAATAATAAAAATTAAACATAATAAAATAATTCTCACGACGTTTCGGCCACAACGCAAGCAGCCGTCCTCAGGTGGAGAGCAGGTCTGTCTGAGGACGGCTGCTTGCGTTGTGGCCGAAACGTCGCTGAGAATTATTTTATTATGTTTTATTTTTATTACTTTATTATTTCCATTCTACGTGACTTTACCGAAAGAACCAAGAAGATAGGTTAACCTCACTTAGCTTCCGGAAGGCCACAAATCATCCGGCGCATTCAGGGCGATTCCGTCGTGCACAAGCAGGCCACTCGGTGGCGGCAGCGAATGTGATGAGGCACCCGTTTGGAACTGGCTCGCGAGCAAATGACTTCGAGATAAGAGGGTGACGGCATGGAACAACCCGAGCCCTAAAGGAACTCCAAACAATGACATCGCCGGCGTTGCGTGCCCAGACGCCACCCGTCCGGGCACGCCGACATTCGTTCGAGCGGCGCGCGTCAAAACATTGTGAGCGCTAAAGTGCACCGGGCCCACCGCAGAGCGTCGTCCGAGATGCACCGCACAGCTACGAGCGATACACAGATCCACGTGGCGTACGCAAAGCAAATTGGAATACCACGTTTGAATATATTTGAATCGGACATTTTTTTCCGTCATAATGTCTGACTTGACAAAATCAATGTATGTTCATTATTTATTTTCATATATATATAATCATTACGGTCTTATCATGTTGTTATTATTACCCTTACATTGCCCCAAACATACGTAGACGTAAGCAATGAGCAGTGAACAGTTGAAAGAGCGACGTTTTGAATTGATCGATAACGGCTGACATTTCTTCTATCCAACGAGCCCCAATAGATGTCCTTCTCTGGCTGGTCTCACACTCCCTCGCACTCCAACCGTGTCTCTAACCAGCAAGCCTTCTCCCTCCACCCAACTCCACGTCACCCACACAGCCAGCGTCATACGTCACTCAGCTAGCTTCAAACAAATAATGGCTTGAACTCTGTATATAGGTTACGTACATGCGGTAGATATTGTTTAACCCGGAAAAACAATATTGGAAGAATCAAGTTTCATAGCGAATCCCGTGACAATTAGTATTATTTCATACTGTAACAAAGCGCTCATATTTTGCCTCTGGTAAAAAGGAAGTTACCAAGCTAGCAGAGCAGTTACCAGGCTGCCACGCTCGCAGACTTCCTGGCGAAACAGAACTTATTTTGTGTCGACTTGCAACCACTTTCATTTATTCCAACTCGAAACCACCGTCGACTTGCAGTCCAATGTGAACAAATGCAGGACCACACTTGAACGGCTCAAACTCGCCCACGCGCTACTACCTTGTAACAATGGCAAAGCGAGTTCACCATTAATAATCAAAAACAGCATTAGCCTTGCAGTTACGAGAAAAAGTCAACCTCTCGGCAAGAGCCTGGGATCGCACATCACCCTCGCGACGCAATCAGTTTAACTCGACCGAACTCCCGCCGGAGCCGTCGCCGGTTCTTTTCCTCCCATCGCAAATCCCACGCACGCCGCTTCGCCACCGCCGGTCAGCACGATGACGACGACCCCGTTTTACCGTCGCGCTCAGAAGTCAATTCCCGCGGTGATGTCGCGCAGCTCGGACGAGTCGGACCGCGCCGACGCGTAGCTCCCGGCCTCCGACGCCTGGCTCAGCAGCGGCACCTTGTCCCGCTTGCGCCGCGACGCCGTGCGCAGGGACGGCACGGCGGGCGAGCAGCCGTCTCCGATGATGCCGCCGCCGCCTCCATTGGGAGCGGCTCGATCGACGCCGGTGCCGCCGCCACTAACGCCGCCGCCGCCGCACGCGCCGGGCGCGGAGGAGAGCTGCAGGTGCTGGCGGTAAGTCTCGCCGTCGTTCAGGCTCTCGGGCAGCGGGTGGCCGCGGCTCTCGGGCAGGAACATGACGCTGAGCAGGGCGACGACGTCGAGCGCGGCGAGCACCACGTGGTGCAGGAAGGAGCCGCGCTCCGTCAGCAGCTCCTCCAGCGGCGCCGACACGCGGCCCAGCGACGCGCAGCCCGCCGCCAGGCCCAGGCCCGCGCCGCTGGAGCGTGCGCCCATCGGCAGACACACCACGCATACGCACGCGCACACACGCACGCACACACACACGCACACACGCACACACGCACGCACACACACGCACGCACACACCCACGCACGCACGCACACACCCACGCACACACGCACGCACCCACGCACGCACACACAGACACGCACACACGCACACACGCACGCACCCACCCACGCACGCACCCACGCACACACGCACGCACCCACGCACACACACACACACCCACGAACACACCCACGGACACGTACATACAAATGAACACATGAACAAATTCACGCACACGCACGCACGCGAATTTTAAAAATGTACTGCAAATTACTTAATTGTAATAGACATAACAATCATACTACTTTGAAACTTGGCAAGATACTCCTAAAAAGAGTACCATGAGTTTCACTGAGGTTTAAACAAGTGTAATAATTTACACCATTGGAACCTCATTTGCCAGTAGAAAAATATGATAATTGGTTTTTTACCCTTTTTTTTACGAGGAGTCATGTTTACATAGACCACAATATCTGGTCCAACACCATGTGTGACTAGGCTCTAAGGAAAGCTGTCTCGGGTGTGGACCAATCAACTTCAAGGACAGTGCATACATTATCAGAGTTATGTTTTTTGTTTGCATTATGACTGCAGGTATTGTGGTCTATGCAAACATGACTCCTCGTAAAAAAAGGTGTCAGTTTTGTTGCCAGATAAAAGAGTAAACAACCAAGTATCAAGTGTAGTAATAAAAAGACATAATCGACATGCACGCTTACATATATAGACACACACACATACATATATATTGATATGCACAGATACACAGACACACACACGGATAAATGTACACAAACATACAGACACACAAGCAAGGACATTTATTTACATTTATTTACCTAGGAGAGTAAAAGCGGAGTCTCACGATGGCTCCTTCATAGGAAGGTGCTGCTGCTTTTGGATGCATGGCCATTTTCACAAACGGGTCTGAATTGAGCCGAGCTAGAATTTGGATGGGAAAACCAGGTGTCGTCGGCTGGGTCTGCTGAGGTGGCAGTGTAGCAAAAGACTCTTGAATCCGTTACCTCCTTGTGTGCAAGGGTTGCTTCCAACATACAAAACGCTCGTGAATGGAATTGGTTCAACATCCGAGGAGCCGCACAATTCAGGCCACGCTTTGCAAGCACGTTCACAATGTAAAGATTTTGGTTGTAAGCAAAGTGAAAATTCCCGGTCGCTCTGAGGAGGTCAGTGCGCTTGCCTCCTGGTTTCCGAGACCTGATGAGTTCGGCCACCACATTCGGGGTGACATCGTCAAAATGTAGATTTGGTGGAAAACCACGTATTAATTCTAGATTTGAAGCTTTCGTGACTGCAAGGATTCATATTCTTAGGTTTTTTTTTACGTAACTTTACCGAACAAACCTAAGGAGAACCACGTATTTTATCTCAGTGATGCCAATTGCAAAAGTCACAGACTGAGTGGCCCCCAACCCTACTTGCTTGGCTTAAATGCCCTTTTTCCAAATTACAAATTGCACCGTTCGTATTATCAGCAAGGAGTCGCAGTGGAAGAACTTCGCGAGAGTGGCGAAACGGCGTTTAACTTTTTTCCGCCACTATTCTCCCCCTCGGCTCCGCGCTCCCCAGCGTGACGGCTACGCCCGGCGGTGGCGGCGGTGGCGGTGGCGGCGAGAGGCGCTCACGTACCGGACCACGGTGGGCGTCACCTCGGCCGCCACGAACACGCCGAGCCCGCCGGCAGCGTGCGACACCACCAGGCCCAGCAGCGTGAGCGCCAGCACCAGCTCCGGCACTAAGTCTGCGGGGGCAACAGGGGCGGCGGTGGCGGCCGAGAACACGCGCGTCACACACGTGCACACACGCACTCACAGAGACAAAGATTCCCCGGATAGCCTTAAAAGATTGTTGGAGGCAAGTGCTGTTTGCGAGCACCAATGAAGGCCCAGCACGGCAGACGAGGGGGTAGGTGGCCAGCACAAATTCACGGCCGCTTTTGTCTCCCCAGTGGCGATGTTTACACATCACACTTGGTCCTCATTTGAGGCCGAGTCGACCTAGGGGAGGTCCTGGACCGGTTCAGATAATCGTCACTGGTGTTGGCCATGAGCGGGAATCGAACCAGGGTCGCTGGGTTCATAGCGCACCACCGCTCCCCACACATACACACAAACATATAGGCATATACAGACATAAATACATAAACCTAAGTACATATACATACGTAAAATTGGGGAAAAATTACAACCAAGATATCACTTGTTAATGATGTTAACCATGGCCGGGAATCAAACCTTTGTTATTCGCTATCATAGTTCGGTGTGTGCGAACTGCACGGCACGTACACAGATACACGCACGAGTGTACATCAACAGGATTGGAGCAACTGAGAGGGCATTCTGGGTCAACTGCACGTTTGTCACAAACACATTCATCGTGGCAGCGCTTGCTTGAGCCAGGGTCTTTGTCAACACGTGAGTTTACACACACGCGTTTACACACGTACGTAAAAGCACACCCGTGAGTAAGCAGGTGACGGAGAGCGTGTGTTTGAACAGCAAATAGGTTCGCGACCCACATGTGCCGCCACGCATATGTGGGCTTTATCCGGCTGGAAATAAACACGTACAGCCCCCTTTTTTTTACAAATCCACCGTTAGTTGAGGGCCTCCCCCGCCGCCCGCGCCTGTGCCGCTCACTGGCGGGGGGGGACCAAAATTCACCCCGACGGTGAGCGTGTGGATCGTAGCAGGCGCACACTCACACTGCGTGAGCGCCAGCAACAGCAGGCTGGCCAGTCCCATGAGGATGACGCAGGCGAGCAGCGTGCCGCGCCGGCCCATGCGCTCGGCCGCCACGCACGTGAGGAGGCAGCCGACCGCGGCGGCGCCCGCCATCATGTAGTAGCGCGCGTAGAAGCTGTGGCCCGAGTCGCGCAGGTACTGCATGAAGCACAGGTGCAGCCCGCTGCCGATGAAGCTGCCGGGTCACGTTGCAGAGTCGTGTTGGAGGGGGGAGAGGGGACAATCGGTGATTCGGCAGCCGAGTTTCTGAGCTTTTGTTAATTTATTGAAGCGGTTTGCAGTGTTATAAATATAGGAGGTTGTAACAACACGTGTGCGTTGCATGTACAGACCGCCAGCTCAAAAGAACTGAACGGGTGGCAATTTTGTCATTTAAATCAGTTCTTCTCAACCTCTTTGATTTCACGGCACACTCGCGAGTTTACTCGACCTTACGCCGCGCACCGAACCAAAGAATCACCGTGGGCCTGGGTGGGCGAGTGCGGACGCGTTATAGCGACTGTTTGCCAAACTGCGCAAAGGGGCGGCCGGGCGTGGTGCTGGCCACCCACCCCCCGCGTGTGCCGTGCCGGCCTTCATAGATGCTTGCTAACAGCACTTGCCCCAACAGTTTGTTAAGGTTATATGGGGTATCTTTGCCTTTGTTTACGTGGGTGAGCGTCTCGGTCACGTGTCTCACGTGATAAAGCAGAGGATGAGCAGGTTCTTCCATATGTTGCGTGTGCTGAACAGCTCCAAGACGTTGTGCTTACGCGGTTTAGACGCAAACTCCAGGGCGCACTCAATTTCTGTAAGACAGACAAAACACATCACACTTTTGTTAATACACTTGTTTGCCCAGGAGTGCCACACTGAGTCTCAAGACTTTATGAGGCTCCCGCCAAAGTTTTTGCAGCATGGGGCAATGCCTAATACTTAATTCTAGATTTGAAGCTTTCGTGACTGCAAGGATTCATACTCTTTAGTTTTTTCGGTAAAGTCAAGTAGGTAAAAAATACGACAGTAAGAATTCGATACGTTCCATTCATTGGCTACCACATTCTGATAAGCTGCCCCCCTCTACTCCCCCTTAACTTGCATTTAAGAACTTGCATTTTGGAATCCCTGCCTCACTTGATACAGCAAATCTGGCTGTGACGGTCCCACCTGATGACGGAGACTTGTGTTGCCTCCGAAACGTTGACATTTTTTATTATTTTATTTTTATAAATTTTAATTAAATTTTTTACCTACGTGACTTTACCGAAAAATCTAAGAGTGTAATGTCTAACACCATGCCATGTGTTTTTCCTTAACGCTCCGCCCCCTCTGACTCACCCTGGAAAGCATCATTGCGCCGGGCCACATCCTCGTCCTCGGTAGCGCCGTTACGCTCGGCAATTGTCTCCAGGGCAGCGCGAGCCTCCGCCACCTGGCGCGTGGCGAGAAGCCAGCGTGCAGACTCACCGAGCACGCTGCAGACACGCGCCACACACGCACACACATGCCAGCCTTCATATAAACACGCGCACACACACATGGCAGCCTCCATATAAACACACGCACGTACACACGGCAGCCTCCATCTAAACCACGGCAGCCTCCATCGAAACACACACACACATACTGCAGTCTCTATCTAAACACGCACACGGGAGCCTCTGTCTAAACCCACACACGCATAGGCAGCCTCCATCGAAAGACACACGCACACGGGAACTTCTGTCTAAACCCACACACGCATAGGCAGCCTCCATTTAAACCCTGGCAAGCCTTCATATAAACCCACTCCAGCCGCCTGAGTTATTAGAGCATATTTTTCATTTAGATGTACATAAGCATGTTGAACTTCTTTTGCACCGTACGTAAGCAACCGTGCTAATCAGAGATGCGAGGTAAGGACAGCGTTAAAGAGCCTTTGGCCCATATTTTTTGTCATGGCTCTGGCTTAGCCGAGCCACCGCTCATGCATCTTTGGAAGCAATTGAGAGGCTCAAGCCTAAGTTAAGCATTGTTAGAGGCCACGCCAGTGCCAAACCACACGGCAGAATACGGCATTTCATGTTAGGAGCGCAACTCTATCGGAAATCGCCTTGAATCCTAAACTCCAGCGTTCATCCACGCACGCGCAACATGCACGCACCACGCCAGGCTGACGGAGAGCACGAGCGGTGTGGCCAGCACGGGTTGCAGCACGGCCCAGTCACGGCACAGCAGCGCCAGCCCCGGCAGCACCATCTCTCCGCCCACCAGGAACACCATTGCCATCATGCAGCGCATGAGCCGGCGCGGGGGGTCGCACATCTCGATCACTGCGGCACACGCGCGCGGCACGATCTGTTAAGAGCAAGCGGCACAAGAGGTACAACATCTGCCACCCTAGGGCCGAGATGGGACACATCGGGGTGTTTGGTTTTAATGAGCGCTCGCAGGTAAACTTTGCAAACTGCACAAATAAAAAATACATGTTTTTTTAAACCTCACCATCTTTCTCACAGATGCTAAAATATAAATATATAAATGATCAGTTTTCTCCTTATTGGTTCTTTCGGTAAAGTCACGTAGAAGGGAAATAATAAAATAATAGAAATAAAACATAATAAAATACAATTCTCACGACGTTTCGGCCACAACGCAAGCAGCCGTCCTCAGGTAAAGAACAGGTCTGTCGGAAAGACAGCGTCCGAATGACACTGTCTTTCGACAGCCCTGTTCTTCACCTGAGGACGGCTGCTTGCGTTGTGGCCGAAATGTCGTGAGAATTGTATTTTATTATGTTTCATTTTTATTATTTCCCTTCTATGTGACTTTACCGAAAGAACCAAGAAGATGAATCCCTGCAGTAACGAAAGCTTTAAATCGAGATCAGTTTTCTGTCAAAACAATTAGGCATGAAGTCCACTTCATGCGGCGTCAATCGAGAGTAATGTTTGTCCGTACTTCACCAAACTGAGCAGTGTGGGTTGGTAATAGGTTTTTACCCTTTCAACTCGTACAAAAACTGACACCTTTATACAAGGCATCATGTTTGCAATAACCACAACACAAGCAGTCAAAATGCAAACAAAAAGAAACAACTCTGATGATGATAATGATATGCACTGTCCTTGAAGTTGATTGGTCCACACCCGAGACAGCTTTTCTTAGAGCCTAGTCTCTATTGGTGTTGGACCAGATGACGCCAAAAGGTGTAAAAACCTACTACTATATTTTGCCACTGGTAAAGGAGGTCTCATAGTGTAAATGCTTACCCCGAGCTCTCAATACTCGGATAGTGCGCTGTCTTTGAGTTGTACGCCTTTTGGCGTCATCTGGTCCAACACCAAAGGAGACTAGACTCTAAGAAAAGCTGTCTCGGGTGTGGACCAATCAACTTCAAGGACAGTGCATATCATTATCATCAGAGTTGTTTCTTTTAATTTGCATTTTGACTGCTTGTGTTGTGGTTATTGCAAACATGATGCCTTGTATAAAGGTGTCAGTTTTTGTACCAGTTGAAAGGGTAAAAATCTATTACTATATTTTGCCACTGGTAAAGGAGATGTCTCATAGTGTAAGTGTGGGTTGGTGAAGGGGAGGGACCCAGGGCTAGTTCTGAAAATGCTCGCTTGTGGTGTTAGCAATGGCCGGGGTATGAATACAGACCACTGGGGTCATAGTGCAGTGCGCTATAAACTGTGCCAACTCTCCACCCCAACATTGCCACATCACACTACTATTGATTTATTGAAGGATAATTATTTGTGCTTTTTCTTTCACAGTATTCCATCGTTAGTCACAAAATTGCTGTCCGCGATTTTGGCTATCCGCGAATCGTATCCGGAACTCCCCGTGACTGCATCGAGAGAGAGAAAGAAAGTTATGAGATAAAGTGATGAGATAAAATATAGGATTTCGTCGGCCAATATCATTATCTGCAAATTGTGCTATTCAGGAGCATCTCTGGAATGTATCCCTCGCAAATAAGGAGGGAACGCTGTTTACCTTGAAAACATGGAAGCCTAACCTGGCTTAAGTTGACAAACTACAACCTAACAACAACAACTGCCATTCGCCACTTAGTGGCGGAGACATCACTACGGCGCTTGTGCCAGACGATATGGACTTTAAGGCCACATGCAGTGTCAGACGCCAGCTGGCAGGAGGTGACGGGACAGACCCAGGTGCCATGGGTTGACTGAGATGACTGATGCACCATCTGTGCCCCCTACTATGCCAACTTGCTGTGTTTTAGCCGCCCGGCGCTCCGCTCGTTATTGTGAGCATCACTCCTCTGCCCTCCGTTCTTGCTGGATGGTGTTTTCCTCCAACTGCCCAGTAGCGTACATCACGAGCCTCCTAACCGAACGCACAAACCCTACGACAGCCTGTTTGTGCATGAGTGCCACCCATCCGAGCACTGTCCAGGCTCAGCTCCTGCTTAGCTTCCAAGATCTGACGAGGTCGGGTGCATTCCCGATTGATTTCGTCACGAGTTAACACGTACAGTATTGCTTATAGCCTTACTATGGGCCCCAACACGAATTCTTACCATATCGTCACAGGGCATGACACTACCTAGACATGATTGCTCTCTTAGGTTTAATCAAATCCTCATTCGAGCCGGTACAGCATTGCCCACGGTGAGCTCTCTCTCAACCAGGCTTGGGAAATCAAGCCTGTCCCTTTCCAGCGGATCAAGTGACACACGTACACACGTGACTCGACACCGCACCTTATCCCAAAGGCTCCAATTACGCCTGGCAATTATCGCCTTTTCGCTGTTCATTATTACCATAAAGTGCTTTCCTTCAGCTGCTTCAAACAGGGCTTACAATCTGTGATTTCAAGACAGATCTTGTTAAATGCTGCCTGCAGGCAATGTGTGCTTTTTTAAGTTATCCAAGCATTCCCTTCAAAGCCCCCGAACACCCATGCAGCGTTGCGCTATCAATTTTTTAGCACCATTTCAGGCTATCATCTTTATTTTATGCAATGATATACTGTATACCAGGGGTGGAACAATGCATCGATTGAGCACCTGATGGCGATTATCAAGCTCATCTTACGTGCATGAATAACGTGCACAGGAATCAAACAGTCTTGCTATTTGTATATGCATGCCTGTCAACCCATACAGTTTACCCGTATTCTTGTACAGGGAAATTGAGTTTTCAGGTCCATACGGCGTACAGACGTTTCAATCAAGGCAAAACTAATTTCTTTGTCTATTTGTTTGTGTTTCTCTCTTGTGATTGGACTTTGTAGTATGAATGTTGAGATTTTCCAGGGAACGGGGTGACCAATAAGATCTGAATTGGTCTGTAATAAGGGAGGCGCTGATAAGGGGTTCACAGCTATGTATATGTTATTTTGCACCAGTGTAGCGGTGGCGCAGTCGTTAGCTTTGCTTTGAACTCGGCGACCCGGGTTCGATACCCGGGAAATATCTGAAACAGTCCTGGGCAGCACCCCGCCCACCGCCACTTCACCAACGTAGTGAAGTATGGTCAAAATATCCCCATGACTAACACATGGCATGGGGCGGCTTTCGACCGCCACTTAACGAACAAAGGGTAGTAAATTACTGTAATTATGTCGAATGTAATGAGTGCAAATAACCACTGCAGCTACAGCAGGCACAACAATTCACCGCATTCTGACAAAAAAAAAACATTATTGATTCTGAAATCGAATCATGACCTTGATTGAGACAATTAATCCATTCGCTGGGAATTCGGGGAGATGGGGAGGGAATAATGAATCGTTATACGCCCACTGTATGGACGTGATAATGAATGTGTAACAATTAATTTGGCAACGCACTTATCGCTTTTACGCTTTTCATCGCTCCATTATTGCGTCGTCGTTTTTGAAGCCGTGGTCTGTGCCCACGAAACATCAAATACAACGATCAGATTTTACACTCGGAGTTTAACTCTCTCCCTTGCGGACTAGCGTACCCACTGCAGCAAAAACATGGCGTATAAACTCTCACCACTCCACCACAAAGAAAGATCGGTCCTGTCGCACCACCAAACAATGGAACAACCCAACCTGGCAATGCCTCATTCTGTCTCATCGCGGAATCGTGAATTTCCATTCCATTACATTGGTCAACACACTTTTTCTGGCATACGGTATTCCAACGGTTTTAAGGTAATTTTGGGGTGCTGATTCCAAATCTGGCATCAGTTTTTGTCTATCACATCAGGTTTTTGAGATATCAAATATTGCATTTTCAATAAAAATTGCAGAAGAAAAATATTAAATAAATGTGGATATCTACATAAAATTATATTATAAATACACTATCCTAAAAATACAGCGCCATATTTTAACACTAAAGCAGTCACTGACTCGCAACAACTTGCAATCATAAGTGACAGAGTTAATTTCAGGTATAATCAATGAAAATGGGGTATGCCGATAGCATAAAATGAGATGTGATAGAGCAAATCAGAGATCAGATTTGGAATCAGCACCCTGAAATTAGTCTAAAACGGCTGCAAAAGTCCAGGCCAGAATTTTTTTTTGTTGTTGTTGACCAGTGTTATTAATCACGCTGTCATCCGAATCGCAAAAAGAGCGCTATCAAAGCGTGCCGAGTATTTTTTTTTCGTCTGTGGGAAAAAAGCACTAAATATCAATTTGAATGCAAAAGAAAAACCCGCACGAAAAAAATATCGCCACGGTAAGCCGTCGGCTACGGAGACAAAGGGAAATTGTGCATAATTTCCAACGCGGTGAAGCCAATTATGCGAACTAAAGAGTTTCTATTGCCTATCAAGGAAATGTTAAATGCCCGTGGGGAGCGTTGCGACGCTCAACGCGTTAGGCTGTACTCGTGAACAAGTCGGGACTGCGAGGAAGTCCTAGCACGGTTATAATGAGCACCTGCGTTTCTTCCACATGACCACTTGTGACGCCCTGCAGTGAGCGGTGGCTGTGTTAACCGGGCGGATGTTAACTGCCGTTAACTCTCGATAATCCGGGGTGACGGGAGGGGGTGGGGGGGGGAGGTGAGAATGGTGATCTAGACAAAACAAAACCAAGAATAAGGAAAATTATAGTACCATTGGAACCTCCTTTGCCAGTAGCAAAATCTGATAATAGTTTTTTAACCCTTTTATCTGGCAACAAAACTGACACCTTTTTTTTACAAGGAGTCATGTTTGCATTGACCACAATACCTGCAGTCGGAATTCAAACAAAAACACAACTCTGATAATGTATGCACTTTCCTGGGAATTGATTGGTCCACACCCGAGACAGCTTTCCTTAGAGCCTAAAAAAAAAGTGGCAGTTTTGTTGCCAGATAAAAGGGTAAAATAAACAATTATCAAAATTATAGTAATTATGGTGTAAAAATGTATCACTCATCTATGCAAAAATAGGGGATGATGCCGCAGAATGCGTCAGCTGTTTTCATAGCGTCTTCATCGGTTTACTTTCCGATTTGTCTGCCTTCACGCGGGCACTTAAGTCACTGACCGCAACGAGTCAGGAACAGCTATTAATAGAACTAGAGTTCGTGTAAAACGAATATGAGCACAGTAAATCTGCAACCCGGATAATCCACCCACGGATATTCAAGAGTTAACCGTTTGCCTCTGAAAATAAATACTCCCCCGGCAGCCTGCTATCCCCAAAACCCTCCTCATGCTTACAAAAAAACAACAACTCCTTTCTATTTCATCCACAATATCATCGTGTGCACGTCTTGAACTTTCTGTGTATTGAGGTGCGATTGCATTTCGGCGCTGTAGACATTCTTCATTTCCTTTTTCTGCAATGTTATCCCAATCGTCCTATCATTTGTGGCCGGGTTGCTTCTGAAAAATAAGTGAATACCTCAGTGGGCTTTGCTTGGTAGGATGGGGATGGTTTCGTTAGAATTTGTACGCGTTTAGAAGATGTGTTTACTTTGCACTGCCGTCGTGTTTTTGTGCTGTTTGTTGTTGTCATGTTCTTACCCGCTCCGACTGGACATCTGTGAAAGAGCTTTATAGCTCATCGGATTCCTCCAGTATAAATAAATATTCTGTTTCTATTTCGATTTAAAGCTTTCGTGACTGCAGGGATTCATCTTCTTGGTTCTTTCGGTAAAGTCACGTAGAAGGGAAATAATAAAATAATAAAAATAAAACATAATAAAAAAATTCTCACGACGTTTCGGCCACAACGCAAGCAGCCGTCCTCAGGTGAAGAAAAGGTCTGTCAGAAAGACAGCGTCTGAATGCATTCAGACGCTGTCTTTCCGAAACGTCGTGAGAATTATTTTATGTTTTATTTTTATTATTTTATTATTTCCCTTCTACGTGGCTTTACCGAAAGAACCAAGAAGATATTCTGTTTCTGTTCCGCTGCCGTTGTTAAATGACGTTGCCGATCGTTTGTCAGCGCGCGGAAGTGATCGATCGGGCAGGTCTGATGAGATCGTTGGACGATAACCACGGCAGGTGGGCGATTGATTAGTCTTCGCTGAGTGTGTGGGAAAGTGCTGCCCCCTACTGTGTGGAACAGGGGTCGCTTGAAAGGCTCTCAATAACTAGCTCTGCGATATCCACTTCTGTGGCATGTTCTATAACACGAAGGGTCGGTCGCACGACAGCGAGACGGCACACTTGGGATATAAACCGGGGGGAGGCGGTGGGGGGCAAAAGATCAAAAGAAACACTGCGATGCACAGCCTCAGTTCCCATTCTCCAAACCAACTGCCCGTTTGCACGCGACGGCTCTCACGGATGAGGTAGAGGGAGAGGAAGACGCCAGGGAGGAAGAGGCCTTGCCCCAGCCGCAGCACGGTGAACATGACGGGTCCGCTGGAGAGGCCCATCGCGAATCCCACCAGTGACGTCAGCACCAGGGAGATGAGCAGCACGCAGCGGCGGCCCAGCCTAAAGCCCACGCGACGAGCGTCAGTCAGGGTGTGCTTGGGCAGGGATACATTTCTCATCGAACATTATCCACATTCCTGGCATGCACGTAGATATGTTGAACTTCTTTCGCGCCGTACGTAGTCAACCGTGCTAATCCCAGGGGGAGGGAATCGGAGGTGCCGGGGAAGGAGACTGGAGCATGGGGCGCGAGACTAGTGCTAGCCACAGCCATCGCAGAATGTATACTGGTTGTGGTGTGCCGGGTAAGTAAATGTTTTGCACATCACCCGACCAGGACCTCAGATTAGCACGTTTGGCTACGTACGATGCGAAAGAAGTTCACCATATATACATACACTAATGTTAAAGTAAATGGTACAAACTGTACAAAAGCAGTGGGAAAAGAGAAACCAATACAAACCAGATGGTAAATATTGAGATAAAAACATGTATTTAGTCTTGAAAGGAATCATGATTCCAAATGGTGACAATGAATCAAATCACTGTGTGCGTGGAAACGACGGTCAGCAGTGAATCTTTACATTCCCATTGCCAAACAGTGTCCAACCAAGTTTATTTCATTAAACCTAGGAGCAGAGAAAGGATGAGAAATTCTTGCAATGTTAAGTCAATTCACCTCACCCCAGATTCCAGAGGGCTCCTTCTCAATGAATCCCCCCCCATTGTGCCCCCGTTGCTTGGCTGTTTTCGAAGTGCGTTAATTTATTTTGCCCCGTTAAAGCAGGCAAAGGGAGTTATGGCTCTTTAAGTCCGCTACAGCGTTACGTCACTCTAATCCCTCGGCCGAACGCACACGCGTGAATTGCACAGTCACACCCTAATCCCAGTTAGCTCGTTATGGTTCACTTCTTGAAGGGGTGGAATTTTACACGGGAAGCTATAAAAACACTCAACCGCTTCAACGGAACAACAGCCTGCTTGGTGTGTTTGCCAGGATGTACATGTGTACTCGTACAGCACTTTTTGTCAATCCACTGGTGAGATGAGGGCCTCCCTAAACCACGTGGGGTCGCGAGGGTTATATTACCATACTTCACCACGCTGGTCAGTTCAGGCTGGTAACGGCAGGGAGCATAGAAAGTAGAGTACAACATAGACTTGTGTGTTTCGATTTAAAGCTCTCGTGACTGCAGGGATTTCATCTTCTTGGTTCTTTCGGTAAAGTCACGTAGAAGGGAAATAATAAAATAATAAAACTAAAACATAAAATAATTCTCACGACGTTTCGGCCACAACGCAATAAGCCGTCCTCAGGTGAATAACAGGTCTGTCGGAAAGAGACAGACCTGTTCTTCACCTGAGGACGGCTGCTTGCGTTGTGGCCGAAACGTCGTGAGAATTATTTTATTATGTTTTATTTTTATTATTTTATTATTTCCCTTCTACGTGACTTTACCGAAAGAACCAAGAAGACTTGTATGTATTGGCATCCGCTGGCCGCCACGTAGCCCGACAAGATCACGACAACCTGGCGTGTCTGGTGGTCACCCAATCCTCCACCGTCAGCAAAAGTTAATCCACTACTGAATGAAGGCCTCTACAATCTGCCGCCATTTTCTTAGGAAGCCACTGGAGCTATACATTTTTAAATCTCGATTGAAAACTAATTTCTTTAGAACTGCTTTTTGTGTTTAGTTTGTTGTCCCCCCCCCCCGCGCCTCTTATTAGCACAGTTGGCTCCATACAGTGCAAATAGAGGGCGAAACATATATACATATATACAATCCATCGGTTGAACTGCTTCAGTGCAATGGTATACGCCAAAACATGCAATGAAAACTAACCCTACGGAAGTACATTTTAAATTGCAACATTTTGAGAAAATAACCCGCTTCAACCGAGTGTTATACAATTGATTGCTTCAGTCAATTCGGCTCCACTAAACCATAGCGTTTTCTTTGATGTAAGAAGAGGTCTTCCGAGCAGATGGGATGGTGGGATCACAGCCTCCTTTGAGGATTGCATGCTCTTTGACGGGAGTGCCATCAAAACGGTAGCCGGGGGCCAACACACACATCGCCCGTGACACAAATCAGCCGGAAAAGCACCCGACTTCGTCCGATGAGCCTGGCTACTGCTTGTATGGCCAGCCACCAACAATAGGTTGCTGCTATACACGATGGGAATATGTATGTGGTGGGCAAGCCGACGGCAGTGTCCATCATTTGGATACCAGAGCCAAGTCAAGACTGTTTTGCAAATTTGCAAATTGCATTTTGCTCCGATGGATATGACTGTTTGAAATATGCATAATGCCCAGTCACCCCTCAGCCCTCATATTGACAATTAAATACTTCTCTAGACAAACGCATGTTTGAATGCATCATATAACCCATCTTGTACGGATGATTAGACCGAATTTGTTTTTCACTTAAAAATGTAGTTTTTTTCGTAGCCAATGCCATGGGCCCATATATTTGTGTAGGGTTGGGCTCCGTAGTAGTTTTATGTCAAAATTCTTCAACCCTCTACCACTAACCCTCCACCACCTGACAAGATTGTCATGTTAACAAAGACATTCTTTATACGTGCCAAAGTATTGATCGACTTCTGACCAATAAATCCCCTAGACTGAATTTAACATCAACGTACGACGTTTCGCTGCAACTGCTTTGAGCTTCATCAGGTGCTCGACCAGAAACTTGTTGTTGTCCACATCACCACCACTACTCGCCTGTCAGACAGCGCTCCCATGGCCACACAGCCGACGACATAGCCGACCATAAACGCGAGGCGTTCAGCCGGCACGAGCCACCACTTCTTGCACACCAGGTCCCACTGCAACGAGAACAACAAAACGAGGGGGAAGAGGAGGGTTGACAGCGGGAAGGGAGCCATATTTACGGCCGTCAATGCTGCACAGCAAAGGATAATTTCATTCTCGCACTACAAGACATCATCCCGGCCAAATCCGTTGATGCCACCAAACCTCGCCGACGCTTTCTCACCTCCGCCAGATCCCGCAGCAGCTGCACATTAGGCGAGTGACCCTTCAAGACTTGCCCTAACAATACCCCACCATTTGGTCTTAGCTCTTCCCTTTGGCCACTGGATATAAAGTGATCACTCCAATACTGTACCTGTCTCCGTAATGAGTCCTCCCTGCAAACACTGCACACGTCCTCACCCAACACAAACATTTTTCCCCCCAAAAATGCATGCATGCATACAGCGCACCTAAACCGCTTAGCCATATGGAATTCTATGCCCTAAGCCAGCTATAGCTTAGGCAAGCCTAAGGCACACTAACAACCGATACTGTATTGCAGCTTTTGCGCCCAATCCCATCAGACTTTGGCAACTAAGCAGAGTTGAGCCTCCATAGCGCATGCATGTGCGATCACCATGCACAACAGGTTGTTATAGGCTGTGAGGATACGTTGAGCTGAGGGCAATGCAGCCAAATAGATTGTTGTATTGTACTTCTACACTGCACTCCCTGCCTTTACCAACCCACTCACCGGTGTGATGAGGTCAAAAAACCCCGGTGACCTGCATGGCATGGGGAGGCCCTCATCCACCGGTAGATTGACAAAAAAAGCTATATAAGTAGAGAAAGCCAAGCAGTCTGGGAGCTAAACAATATATTTTTACGAAGACCTGATTATTTATTACATTGCCACTTAACAGCGCACGATGAGATTTCTATACAATATATCTTTACGCGCTAAACAGGACCCTGTCTTGAAGGTGGGGTGCTCTTATAAACTACGTCTGGCAACCAGGCAGGATTTGTTGAATGAGCCCGACTCTGCTGATGAGACCCATGAGATCAAAACTCAACCAACATTTGATTACAAATGCTGCTGGATAACCCAAGGCCAGAAGGCGACTGTGACTCAGCTGTTGAAACAATATTTATTTATGTTTAAGTGTGGCATTTATTTGACTCATAATCCTCCGCAACATTTCATGAGTTTTGATACAATCTTGGGCTTATGTTCCGTCCAAATGCAACCTCATCTCTAGACAATGTACAGAGTAGGGAGGTATACACACGGGGCAGATGTGACGAAAAGTAATGATGATGATGCAGCCTGTGAAGAGATAATGCAATGACGCCTTGCCACATCGTAGCTGGATGAAAATTAATTTCGATGGCAACCATAGTGACAAAGTGAGCAGTGAAAATGTTTTTACTTGAGATAATTGAAGGTCAGTAGCCTAATTAGGTCAGTGCTGGCGTGTTAATTTAAAATACATTTCAGCTCAATGTCACAGTAATAAGGTTATTTATCAAGTGGCAATTTCACTGCATTTTGTCAATCCTCTTATCAATTGGATGAAGGTCTCACTACTCTGTGTCAGTCGTTGAGAGCTGGTCGACCGTACATATTCCAACTGCTGGGTCAATTTGGGTTGGCGATGGGGCCCACCCAGGAATCAAGTTTGATTCCTGGGTGAGCGCCATGGTGGCGAGATGTTAACTACATCGCCTGGTATACAGCAGGTCGTGGGTTCAATCCGAACCCTGACATCTGTACGTCTGGAGTTTTCATGTTCTCCCTCTAGTCGCGTGGATATTTCTCCGGGCCCTCCAATTTTTTTTTCTCTCCACATTTAGAATCAACATCATGCGTTTAAGAGTATTGAGCTGCTATAAATGTCAGCATGATGACAATCCACTTCGTTGAGCAATCAGTTTTGATGACCAGGTCGCTTCTGCTCCATATATAGCTTAGTGGGTCTGAGCTAGTCAAATAAAAATATAAATATAAACTCAGTTCACCGGTTTCACGGAGCAGTGTGCTTAACCATCAATCTACACTAACAGCGAACCTCCCTTTACCCCAATCACCGTGCCAATTGTCCCCACGCCACTCATCGTAACACACAAAACCCGCAGGGGTCACAAACTCATGGTGACCAGTGGAGTTGCGTGAAGGTGAAACCACACACATGCTCACGACAATGTATCTCGTGAATAATGCATCACCAACCCCCCCGCCCCAGTCGAGTTAAGATCAATGACAATTGACACCCCACTCGAGTCTCTTCACGTCGTTAGCCGCACTGCAGAGAGCCTGTTCCACGCACAAGTGCACGCCCTTCACTTTGGCCCCGAATTGGCCTGCAGATTTGCTGGTGGGGGGGTTATTAAATGGGAACAAGTGCTCCAGTGAGCCAGAATCAAGTCCGGACAATCATCCCAATGTGTGTGGGGGGGGGGGGGGGTGTTCTTCCTCCAGGAACTTCAATCATTGATTCCTCCCTCTCCCCATAGATGGAATGAGACAGTTTTATGTAATTATATCCATACCGCTGTTGTGTTCAAGCACGACACTGCAGATAAAAACTACCGGACACATTTCCTTTTTGCAAAGTCTACATTTTGGCGTTGGCAAGTTTTCGCCCACCTTGTGATACACACATATTTTCCTTCCGTTTTATACAGCGTTCGTCGATAACAGTAACACAACATAAAAAATCCATTCATAATCGGACCATCTGCCACAGACAAGACTGAGCGAATGCATGTGAACACTTCCAACCTTAGTTGGAAAGCGTGTCCAGCCGCACAGACAAATGGCACCACCACCACCACCCATCCTCGCCCACCAACGGTGCCAACCCAACCGGCCCTCACCCCCATGGGCATCGTTCCGTGAACAACAATCACGATCTCAGCACCAGTTGACCCCCCCATGCACTTGCCTGTGTCACGATGGTTGTCCGTAGCCCCGGCTGGCTGGGGCTGACCCTGTACACCCACGCCGTGCACTCTTCCCCCGTGCCCACCTCGGTCCTGTTGACCCCAGCAGCCGCACCGGCCGCACCGTAGCGAACACGTGCGCAGTGCGGACCACCGCCACCACCACCACCGTTCATCTGCTGCTGCTGCTGCAGGTACTGCTGCTGTTGCTGCTGCAGGTACTGTTGACCACTACGGGCTTCTCGACGCATGAGCCAGAGCCACACTTGCGCGTCCGAAGCGTTCGCCGGCAAGGCCGTGGGGTCCGGCCGGCATCGGTAGCTGTCCAGCGGCGCGCTGTTGAAGGCGTCTGCGCAAAGCACGCAGCCCACGAAGATGTACGGCAACCAGGTAAGCACGGAATGCAGCTTTTGGTGGCGTCCGAAGCCCCCGGCGGCTGGCATCAGGACGCAGTCGAAGGAGGAAGAGGAGGCCCCCCCTTCCGACACGGCCGCTAAGCCGGCGGCGTTGTCGGAGCTGTGCGTGGCCGGAAAGCGGCCGAGCGATGTGGTCTCGCGTCTCGGGCTGAGGCTCGGGTTGTCCGGCGTGCTGGCCATTGTGTGTCAGCTGATGGCGGGGATGGTGATGATGATGATGATGGGGGTGGTGATGGTGATGATGATGGTGGTGGTGGTTGTGTTGGTACCGATGCTGCCGACGGCTGACAGCGGCGGTAGTGGTGGTGGTGGTAGTGGTGGCGGTAGTGGTGGCGGTGGTAGTGGCGGTGGTAGTGGTGGTAGTGGTAGTGGCGGTAGTGGTGGTAGTGGTGGTGGCGGTAGTGGTGGTGGTGCTTGACAATTCCCTGCAGATGGCTGTGCACGTGGGGGGGGGGGGGGTGCTGAGGATGCAGACTCCTCCTGCTGTTTCACAAACCCCCTCGGCCGCTGCTCTTTGGGTTCCGCTGGGAGTGATGACGGCGATGCTGCGAATCGACAAACCCTTTGCTGCTGCTGCTCCTGCTGCTGCTCCTCCTGCTGCTGCTGCTCCTGCTGCTGCTGTTGCCGCTCCTGCTGCTGCTCCTGCTGCTGCTCCTGCCGCTCCTGCTGCGGCTGCTGCTGCTGCTCCTGCTGCTCCTGCTGCTGCTGCTCCTGTTGCTGCTGCTGCTCCTGCTGCTGCTGCTCCTGTTGCTGCTGCTGCTCCTGCTGCTGCTGCTCCTACTGCTGCTGCTCCTGCTGCTGCTCCTGCTGTTGCTGCTGCCGCTCCTGCTGTTGCTGCTGCCGCTCCTGCTGCTGCTCCTGCTGCTGCTACTCCTCCTGCTCCTCCTCCTGCTGCTGCTACTGCTGCTGCTCCTCCTGCTGCTGTAAGCACCGCATGTGACTTAATCGATACTTATGGTTCAGATATTGCTGGTGTCGGGGGGGGGGGGTGTTCCTTCCCTGTCGCCCTCAATGATGCCACTTGCTGCTGCTGCTGCTGCTCCTGCTGCTGCTCCTGTTGCTGCTGCTGCTGCTGTTAGCGATGACGATCATCTCTCTCTCGCCTCTGCTGCTGCTACTGCTGCTACTGCTCGCTCTATCCCCCCCTCCTGTTGCAGTTCTAAATGCCGCCGTCTGGCGCCACGACTGCTGCTGCTTCTGCAACTACTTTAATGACGCCACTTCGCCTGTTCTAGCCGATGCTGCCACACTGCTGCATCTCGTGCTGTAAGCGTATCCCTGCCGGTGTAGTTGCCGACACTAATACCGCCAATATTGTCATCGATTGTGTAGCAATCGATGATTCTGAAATCGACGATACTGCGGTTTCTGCTGCCGCAGCTCCTCCTGCTGCTACAGCTGCTTGTCACTGCTGCATCCCTGCTGCAGCTCCCACTCACGGTGTCACCGACGTGACAAATCCTCTTCCTCCTCCTCCTGCTACTGCTGCTGTGACTTCGACTGTTGCTGCTACTGTTGCTGCTACTGTTGCACCGTACAGTTGCTATAGCTCCTACTGCTGCAGTTATAACTCTCTGACGCTAGACACTAACTACGGTCCTGCCGTTGTAATCCGTCACGTTGATTGTGTATCGACTGCTGCATCAGTCGCTGTACCACCACCTACTGCTGCATCAGTCGCTGTACCACCCCCTCCTGCTGCTGTACCACCCCCTACTGCTGCATCAGTCGCTGTACCACCCCCTCCTGCTGCTTGCTAACCTCTACCCCTGCTGCTTCCTGCTGCTTGACAACCTCTACCCCTGCTGCTTGACAACCTCTACCCCTGCTGCTTGACAACCTCTACCCCTGCTGCTTGACAACCTCTACCCCTGCTGCTTCCTGCTGCTTGACAACCTCTACCCCTGCTGCTTGATAACCTCTACCCCCGTTGCTTGGCAACCTCTACCCCTGCTGCTTGATAACCTCTACCCCTGCTGCTTGACAACCTCTACCCCTGCTGCTGCTTCCTGCTGCTTGACAACCTCTACCCCTGCTGCTTGACAACCTCTACCCCTGCTGCTGCTGCTTGCTGCTGCTTGACAACCTCTACCCCTGCTGCTTCCTGCTGCTTGACAACCTCTACCCCTGCTGCTTGACAACCTCTACCCCTGCTGCTTGACAACCTCTACCCCTGCTGTTTCCTGCTGCTTGACAACCTCTACCCCTGCTGCTTGATAACCTCTACCCCCGTTGCTTGGCAACCTCTACCCCTGCTGCTTGATAACCTCTACCCCTGCTGCTTGACAACCTCTACCCCTGCTGCTGCTTCCTGCTGCTTGACAACCTCTACCCCTGCTGCTTGACAACCTCTACCCCTGCTGCTGCTGCTTCCTGCTGATTGACAACCTCTACCCCTGCTGCTTCCTGCTGCTTGACAACCTCTACCCCTGCTGCTTCCTGCTGCTTGACAACCTCTACCCCTGCTGCTTCACAACCTCTACCCCTGCTGCTGCTGCTTCCTGCTGATTGACAACCTCTACCCCTGCTGCTTGACAACCTCTACCCCTGCTGCTTCCTGCTGCTTGACAACCTCTACCCCTGCTGCTGCTGCTTCCTGCTGATTGACAACCTCTACCCCTGCTGCAGTGGAAGCCGGCGAAGACAGCGGCGCTGGTGGGGTGGGACAGCGTGCGCACACCACGGCCGCCCGTAATGTTTACCCCCCACCTCCTCCTCCACCACCACCACACTTCGTCTTCTTATCGTTCGCTGTGGTTATATAATTACTGCTGTGGGTTATATAATTATCGCTGTGGGTTTTTTTTTGTTAACCGCGACGCCGACGCTGTTTACACGCCTGCGGCGTCCTCCAACAACCCACCCCCCACCACCCGCCAGTGTGTGTGTCACTGTGTGTGTGTCACAGTGGGTTTAACCAGGCTGGATTGTGTGAGGAGCTCACAAATCCTTGAAAGATCTGGGCAAAGTCCCATCAGTGAGCTCCTCCGGCAGGCAAGGCTGCGTTGGCATGCCCAGCCACCGCATGCCTAAACAGCTTTTGTTCGGCCGGATCGAGGGGGCTAGACGGGCGCGGCACGGGCTAGAGAAGAGATGGAGTGATGTGGTACAGGAGGACGTGGAGCTGAGTGGACTTGCCGATGACTGGTACCAGCGGTGTCAAGATCGGCCTCAGTGGAGGAGGCTCGTGAAGGACGCTACTGGGCAGTTGGAGGCAGTCGCCCTCCAGCAACAACGGAGGGCGGAGGAGCGACGCTCACAACAACGAGCGGAGCGCCGGGTGGCTAAAGCACAGCAAGTCGGCACAGTAGGGGGCACAGGTGGTGCATCAGCCAGTCATCTCGGTCATCTCGGTCAGTCGACCCGTGGCACCTGGGTCTGCCCCGTGACCTCCTGCCAGCGGGCTTTCGACACTTCACGTGGCCTCAAGGTGCACTTGGCCTGGCACAAGCATCGTGGTGACGTCACCGCCACTTAGTGGCGAATGGCGGTTGTTGTTGTTGTTGTGTATCACAATGTGTGTGTCCCGGGTTTTAGAGACGCGCGGGGTCGTCGGGCCGCCATCTTAGGTGAGGGAAGGGGAGCGCCCACTACCACCACCACCCCCAATACCCCACCCCCCCACCACCCCCAATACCCCACCCCCCCACCACCCCCCATATCCCCCTCCCAATACCCCACCCCCCCAATACCCCACCCCCCATATCCCCCTCCCAATACCCCACCCCCCCAATACCCCACCCCCCAATACCCCACCCCCCCCCATATCCCCCCCCCCAATACCCCACCCCCCAATACCCCACCCCCCCCAATACCCCCCCCCAATACCCCACCACCCAATACCCCCCCCCCAATACCCCACCACCCAATACCCCACCCCCCCCAATACCCCACCCCCCAATACCCCACCCCCCCCCCATATCCCCCCCCCCCCAATACCCCACCCCCCCAATACCCCACCCCCCCCAATACCCCCCCCAATACCCCACCACCCAATACCCCCCCCCCAATACCCCACCACCCAATACCCCACCCCCCCCCAATACCCCCACCCCCCATACCCCACCCCCCCACCACCCCCCATATCCCCCCAATACCCCACCCCCCAATATCCCCCCCCCAATACCCCACCCCCCAATACCCCACCCCCCCACCACCCCACCACCCCACCACCCCCCAATATCCCCCCCCCAATATCCCCCCCCCCAATATCCCACCACCCCACCCCCCCACCAATACCCACCACCGGCTTTGCGCGGTGTCGGATCTTCCCCTAGCTAAGATGGCCGCCGCTAATGCTGACGCGGCTCAAGGCGACGCGCCCGAACCCCGTTATTCGGGGGAGCGCGCGCGATTGGCTGACGCGCGATCACGTGGTGTAGCGGCGGGCCGATGGTGGGAGGGATTAGATGGTGGGGGGGGGGGGGGTCCTCCGATGCGGTCTGCGAAACGTCTTTGTGACGTCACGGCAAACCAACACACGTGCGGATTGACTCCGCGTGGCGTCAGCGAGACGGGTAAAGCGTCAAGTTCGTTCCGGTTAAAGCGGCTGAGAACTTAAGGAGGCCACGACACAAGAGTCTCGTCCGCGAGAGTGACGTGGTTTGTCACCAAAGTGGAAAAACAAGCAAATACAAAAGCACGGCATTGAATGAAATATAAACGAGTTTGAAAATAACTGCGTCACATCACGATATTGTTTTTTTGTTTTGCTGGTTGGCTGGTGCGTTAGCGATCAATTGCGTGGCGTTGACGTCACCCACGGATTTGTGCCCGCATCACCCACCACCCCCGGGCTGTATCCCGTGCAAATGCGCACCCAGTGCAAGCGAAAAGTCCAAAAAAGTTCACGTCAATAATGTTAAATCGTCAATTACCGGTAGCGTAGGAAGTCGGCTCGGGCAGATTGTTTTTACACCAATCGTAGTACATTTACACATTTGAGTTTACAGAAACATTAAAATGTGCTCATCTGTACACAGAAAAGATTGGATGTCAAACGCCCAGACGATGGCAGTGGCTCTGAAGACGAAATGCTAAAAGGTGCAGTCCATACATTTCTCTCGCCACGGCTGATGGAAAGACCTCGACTGCAGGGTACAGTGGTACCCGCGGAGATCGAACTTAATTCGTTCCAGAAGGCCATTCGAACACCGATTTGTTCGAACACCGAATTCATTTTCCCCATAAGAATTAATGTATATGACATGAATTGGTTCCAGACACAAGAAATCTCTCATTATAAAGCATTTTTACACGAAGTTCACAGTAATTACATGCATAAAATAATACAAAAAAACAAGAAACAATAAATAAATGGAATAAATGAATATATGGAATAAATGAACATGGGACTTCACTTACCTATAGTAAGGAGAGTTCTTAGCTTGAGTGGAAGGTGATGAGGAGGATGAGGTGGTTGGTGGTGTTATTGTTTGGAAGGGGAGTCCCATTTGTCTGGGCAAGCGTCATGCACGCTGTCCATACGCGTCTCAGCCGTACAGGTTCTTTCAAGTCGCGATTGCCCCGTTCGACCTCCGAATTTTGTTCGGTTTCTGGGGCAAAAAATGTTCGGAAATATCGTTCGAACACCGATTTGTTCAAGTTCTGGTGCGTTCGATCTCCGAGGTTCTACTGTACCTTTGCCTTCTCTTCTACAATGGCCATACATCCGCTTTGTTTTTTTAGGTAAAGTCACGTAAATAAAAAATAAAATAAATGAAAACAACAAAATTAAATCACGACATTTCGGGCGCAACACAAGCGTCCGTCGTGATTTTATTTAGTTTTCATTTATTTTATTTTTTACCTACGTGACTTTACCAAAAAAAAACAAAGAGTATGAATCCTTGCAGTCACGAAAGCTTCAAATCTAGAATTAATGGCCATACATCTTTAAGCAAGTATTGCAAACGGAATGATCTTTCAGTCATATCCTGGAGGTTAAAAGCTATCCTCTGGTCAATTCCAGGACGTGATCATACTGTACCAGCATATGATATGCAACACTAACATGCAAACTGGATGCAAAGCAGAGATGGCAAAAAGGAATGGAAGGTCATTTGTATATCCCTATTTGGGTATCTGTTCATGTGCAGCCCTCTTGTTCATCCACTGCTTCCCTGTGCAGTGCGGGTTATTTACTTTCCGCTGGTTGCTGCGGTTTGGTGAAAGAGGGCAGCATAAGACGTTATGTATATCGATTATTGTTACATTTAAATCACAGTTCCTATAATTACTGTTGTTACATTGTTTTGTAGCTTTATTTTGGCGATTCGAAAATATATGGTTAATGTAAATTGTATCATGGTTGCTGTTGTTGGCTTGCATCACTTTGTGATTTTTGCACACAGCGTTTTAATACTTTTTTTTATATTTGCTGGTTTATTCCAGGATGTTTCTGTTGCGCGTCGTCGCTTTGGCATGTTGTGTGTTCATATTTAGTTTGTTGCGGTTGCACCCGACTTAAGAGCCGCATGGCTCACAGGGCTATACCTAATGAAACTTGAAAACTTGAGGACGTGAGATCATAGAAGTGCAGTACGACAATGGATTTTACACTGCCTGGCCATGGAACCCCATGAAGCATTTTGACTTAAATTCAGAAAACAGCCACCCGCCTTCCTGCGTTGTATGTCCGTCATACAAGTCACCATCAGCCACGCGATGGCATCATGAATTCACCACACACGAGCTGATTTCATCACTCCATCTCTTTGGCTTGGGATGCTCTCAGACGTGTTCCGTTCTTTGGCTGCCACTCATTATTTCTTGGCCATTAGACATCGTTCATTGCCGATTTTTTCCCGGATTTTTCTGTTGCGTGAAGTCACTTTAAGACGTTTCTTGTTCGTGTTTTTGTTTTTTGCGGTTGCACCCGAGTCAAGAGCCGAATGGCTCACGGGGCTATACCTAATAAATGAACTTAACTGAACAAGCCACCTTTTACTGGTAGGAACCTCATGGTTACACCAGCCCACAGGGGATTATTGTGTCCGTCCGTCCTGCAGGGAGGGGCTGGGTGGGGAGAGACTGGGAGGGGTGGGGCTGGGTGGGGAGGGGCTGGTCACCCTGTGGTGCCCTTATAAAACTCAACGTTTAACCTACTCACGCCGGCTTGTGCCCACCCTCACAGTCGGCCATATTTGCAGAATACACCACGCTGCCGTTGACCCTGGCCATTGACCGAGCAACCCAACGTTCCTACCAGCTCCCTCCGCAGGAATGTGTTTCAACAAAAATCAAATGACGTCATTAACCTGCACATGTTCTATCCATGTTTTTCCTCTTTCCATTGCTCAGTGGAACGTCGAGCATGGAGCTCTCTATGCTTTTTTTACACATTTTATGTAAAAAAATACTTTTTTCTTAATGACCATGTTTTCCGAAGCACACGGTTTAATTGCTTGTTGCTGAATACTTGCTCCGCTACGTCACATGGAATTTGACATCCATTCACAAAACAGTCACCCCCTCCGATGTGTTGCATGCACATCATACGAGCGTAATGCAATTAAGTTACAAAGAACTTTGCCACCATTTCGCTCTCCAAGCTAACAAAGGCCGAGTCATGCAAAGGCATTGCACAACAGTTGGAAGGCTGCCAATTTGGCGTTAGTGTACAACATTTTAGAATTTACAAAATAATCACATGTGTGATGGTGTTTTTTAAAAATAATTTAAACGCTAATTCAATGTACGGTGTATAGTACCGTTGGAGTTGATGTTAAATGCTTACGGGCACATATGCATATTTAATCAAACATTTATATTCTTACTTGGTTCTCTCGGTAAAGTCACGTAGAAGGGAAATAATAAAATAATAAAAATGAAACATCATAAAATACAATTCTCACGTTTCGGCCACAACGCAAGCAGCCGTCCTCAGGTGAAGAACAGGTCTGTCGGAAAGACAGCGTCTCAACAATTATACTCGTCTTTTTTGGACGTAACCTATTTGCGACTGCTTCAACATACAATGACAGAAACAGGATCCCCAACACTGAAGTCCTTGATAGATCTCTGCCACTGAGAGCACTCTCATTCGGGCACACCTTCACTGGGTCGGACATGCGGTCCATATGGAAGATACCCATACATCGGTAAAGTCACGTAGGTAAAAAAAAAATGTTATTCATAAAAATACTTTTAATTTTATTTATTAATTTTATTTTTTTTTTTACCTACGTGACTTTACCGAAAAAACCTAAGCATATGAATCCTTGCAGTCACGAAAGCTTCAAATCTGGTGCTCTGCAGCCAACCGAGCAAAGTGACCCACTTCAAACTTCAAAGCACGCGAGATATTCAAACTCGGGAACTCGTCGCACTGAACAGACGCAGATGTACAGACCTGTACTGTAATGTTCTATCCACTGCTGAGGGTCGTGCCAGGTCTCTGCAGAAGAAAAGAGTGCATCCTAAAACTAGTGCTTCAAAGCCGCCCCCCCCCCACACACACTTGTAAGATATGTAACAGCACTTGCAAGCCTAAGATCGGAATTGTCTCCCACTTGGCAAGCCGTGAAAATAAACACCAGGATGAAAGCCAACAATAGCTGAACATGCATCCGTTGAAGTGACAGGAGAACCCAGAATGCTGTACACTACAGGCTTTGTACACTTTATTAGAATATGTACATTATTTAGATGCTATGTATACCGCATTACAGACTATGTACTTTATTCCAGACAATGTGTACTGCATTACCGGCAGTGGATAAAGAGAACCCGAGAGCTGTTTCACTTGCACTTTCGCTTGGCAGAGACGATGCAGATCCATGAGGGGTCACCATGTGGTGTCCTGCGTGTCTGTACCCACAAACCAATTGCTCAGTAACAATAGTTCATGAACGCGACGTCACCTGTGAAGACTAATGTCAAACCACGCAAAAGGAGAGCGTGGAAAGATTTTGCCTCTTCATCCAAGAGCTTGTATTTCCTGATAAGTGTGAACGACAGACCTCTGTTGCATCGATGCCTTGGAATTCAAATAATAAACATCTAAAATGTCTACAAATGTCAAACATCGGTGACTAGAGAACTGAAGAGAGTAAAAAAAAACTTGCAGCGTTTCATTTACAGCGGAGCGCGGTGTCCAAACCATCCTCATTAAGCCCTTATTAACTCCACCTCCTCAGATCACCAAGATAAAACACCTTCTTGGTTCTTTCGGTAAAGTCACGTAGAAGGGAAATAATAAAATAATAAAAATAAAATATAATAAAATAAAATAATTCTCACAACGTTTCGGCCACAACGCAAGCAGCCGTCCTCAGGTTAAGAACAGATCTGTCGTAAAGACAGCGTCAGACGATAATTATTTTATTATTTTAATACGTTTACATTTTTTGTTTATTATTTCCCTTCTACGTGACTTTACCGAAAGAACCAAGAAGATGAATCCCTGCAGTCACGAAAGCTTTAAATCGAAAGATAAAACACGTTCGCCGGCTTTAAATCGTTCCCGTCAGCCACTCGGCGACCACCTGCACTTCCACCTTCTCTGACGCAAAGTCCTGGGGTTGGTCGTGGCCGGTGTCGCCCCCACGTGTCCGCGCTCGGCCACCGCGCCCGACGCGCCTGCGTGCTCTGCACGTGCGGTGGAAGTTCCGAGCGGGGCAGTTGCTTGGCCGACGAGCGGTGGCGAGCGAGGTGGCGGCCCAGGCTTTGGCGGTTGTACGTGGAGAAGGGGCAACGCGGGCAACTTAGAGACTCCCCAGTGTGCGTCCGCCGCATGTGAGTGTCCATGCACTTCTTTTGGATGCTGCGAGGCGGTAGAGGAGGGATAAACACAATGTAACCATCAGCAGTGAACTCCACTAGGTACAGTAATAGGTTTTTACCCTTTCAACTGGTACAAAAAACTGACACCTTTATACATTATGTTTGCAATATCCACAACACAAGCAGTCAAAATGCAAACAAAAAGAAACAACTCTGATGATGATAATGATATGCACTGTCCTTGGAAGTTGATTGGTCCACACCCGAGACAACTTTTCTTAGAGCCTAGTCTTCATTGGTGTTGGACCAGATGACGCCAAAAGGCGTACAACTCAAAAACAGCACACTATCAGAGTATTGAGAGCTCGGGGTAAGCATTTACACTGAGACCTCCTTTACCAGTGGCAAAATATAGTAATAGGTTTTTACCCTTTCAACTGGTACAAAAACTGATACCTTTATACAAGGAATCATATCCACTAGGTATAATTTGTAGAGGCACTCCCTACCTATGCGAGTGTGATTATAGTGTGAACTAATCTCAGGCCAAAGTGGCAATTTTATTGGGGGGGGGGACCTATTGGAACACGTGCCATCATAATGAACAGAACAGACCTCCTCTTATCTGCGACCCTTGAAACATGCATCATCGCTCGAATGAAAGATGGATGGTTCAATAATAATAACGGATTGACAGCCAAAGAATGGAACACATCCAAGGGTACGTCTACCAAAGAGATGGACTGATGGAATCACTTGACATGCAGTTGGTGGATACATTGTTGTATCTAGATGTGGCGGGACAGGTGGTGTAAGCTTGGAGAGGCCTTCATGCAGCAGTGGATTGGTCATGGTTCATAGTGCACTGCGTTACGAAACCGGAGGCCCAGTTTGAATATATCATGAATATATCATGACAAATATATCAGTGGTGATTATCAGTTTTTGAGCCAGGCCACAAGGTCCAAAACATGGAGTGGCCAGCAACAATCAGCACTATCAAAGTTGTAAGTGATAAGATTTCACAAGTGTGTCTTGAATTTAGCAAGGTTATGAAGGCTTGGGAAAAGAGACAATGGGGAGAACCAGAAAGTGAAGTGCTGTGACCTGCATTGTGGTGAGTGTGTCAAATGAATGTGTTGAATAAATGCGTGAATGGGTGAGCGACTAGTCACCCACCCACCCAAAATTTCCCACAACGCACCCACTCATTGACAAACTCATTCACACACTGATAAAATTAGCAGATAACCCCTCAAAAATGGAATATGGGTTCCTTGTTTTTTTTTAAATGAAGGAGTTATTTTGTGGTGTTCTCTCCTTCCTTGGTGTATCCTGCATTCATGGTTGCTGAGGAATACATGCACAGTACACGTATTGTCAATCTCCTGCTGGATACGGGCCTCGCCTTGCAAGTCATGGGGGTTATTTGAACATAATTTACCACACTCATGAAGGAAGTGTAAGTGATGGTCTACCAATGCTGTCACGCAAGTCTGAACTTACATATGGTGCACATTTTTATTTTAACTCAATCGTTACATCAGAAAGGGAGAGGTAGCTTCTGCTGCTGCTGCTGCTACGTATGTGTGGAGATCAATAGAGCAACGTTTATTTAAGTCAAGTCAACAGAAAAACGGTCCTAGTCAATAAAACAAACTTGCAGTCACTATGGGGAATTCAATAGGATGCCAACACTTGACAGACTACGTGAATGTCACAGATGTTTACACAGTATTGTTGTCAGCCAGAACTACATAGGGTGAGCAATGATTTTTTTTTCCACAAGACAACTCGTACATCATTGGAGCTTATTTATGTGGTGTAAAAAAAAGAACATGAAGCAGCTTCATAATGCCTTTTTACATCTCGGGCAAGAACCAGGACACGAAAAAATTAAAAAGTTACTTTTAAGAAGGGCTCCTGCTGGAAGGTGAGTGGCTCCTGCTCATTGCTTGACCTGCTACCACAACCACCAACCAAGAAGCAAATGGTGAGGTGTGCTGACATCAACAGCATCAGCGAGTAGGAGAGGAGCGGGAGAAGAGTACAAGAGGAACCCACAGGGCCCCACCGGTGCACCCACCACGTGTAGGAGCAGAGCGTGCACTTGTGGGGCTTCTCAGAGGCGTGCGTGCGCTTGTGTCGTCGCAGACAGCTGGCGTCCGAGCTGCTGTATGGGCAAAGTTCACACTGGAAGGGCTTTTCACCTGCAACGCACAATGTCAGAAATCTTATAAAAAATAAAATTACTTTGAAAGCTATTTTCTTTAGGTTGTTTTACTCCTTTGGGTTTTGACCATCCGTCCCTCCCTCCCTCCACACAGAAAACATTTTTAATATGACAGTATCACAGTGTATTTAGCAGAATTTGCGCATTATCCACGGCCAGGGTGGAGAGCGAGTGGGGGGGGGGGGGGGGGCGCGTCAGCACGACGCATGAACCCGGCTCAACGCTGTGGGATGTGGGTGACATCACTGCGCCGATGTGCGCTGTGACGTCACCACGCATGCGCACTTTGGCGCCAGTCATCCAGGAAGCCAGACATTAAGCCAGCCAGTAAAACTTTAGTCTCGTATAGTGTATATATATGATGACAAGGGCAGCCGCGTGTGGCGTGCCGTCACTCTCGAGCACATCACCTGTGTGCGTGCGCATGTGCATGTCGAGTGAGGCCTTGAGCCGCGTCTGGTGGCCGCACTGCGAGCAGATGTACGGCTTCTCGTTGGTGTGCGTCTTCACGTGCCGATAAAGTGCCTGCCTGCTTGAGCACTCCCTAGAGCAGGGGGCAATAGAAGAGCGTGACGAGCCGTGTGTGTTTATACGCTGCTAAGCCACGTGCATCCTTTACTTATTCATTGGTTCTTTCGGTTAAGTCACGTCTAAAGATAGAGAAAAAAGATAAGCTTAAAACTTCCCCGTAGAAGTGGTTCAATCTTAATTTTGGAGCTTCTTTAGATCTTTAGACGTGACTTAACCGAAAGAACCAAAGAATAATTCCTGCAGTCACGAAAGCTCCAAAATTAAGATTGAACCACTTCTTCGGTTAAGTCACGTCTAAAGATCTAAAGATCTATCTTTAGACGTGACTTAACCGAAAGAACCAAAGAATAATTCCTGCAGTCACGAAAGCTCCAAAATTAAGATTGAACCACTTCTACGGGAAAGTTTTAAGCTTATCCTTTTTCTCTATCTTTAGACGTGACTTAACCGAAAGAACCAAAGAATAATTCCTGCAGTCACGAAAGCTCCAAAATTAACATCCTTTGTCAGTTGCATAAGAAAAATGTACACGCGTTATAAGAGGCCTACCCGAGGTTGCGAATAATCTGTGTACGAAGTCGAAACAAGTGCGGCAAAATCATGCGTGCGCATGGATTATGCACTACTCTCAAACATTCGTTCGTTTATCAGCATAGACGCAGGTGTCAGGGTAAAATGTATTTGCATTCTTCCATAGGGTAGCTGTAGGAAAAAAAATCACTTGCATATTTGCAAAGTCCTTTTTTTCAGGATTGTCTCCACGTTTTAGACATTGTCAATCTGCTCCTCACCACATATCCCTATAACAGCCTGTTGCGTGCAGTTGCCACCCATCCACGGACTATTCAGGCTTTAATTCAACATTGAGCAACCCTTTGATGAATGTCCAGTTTTAAATTTAGTTCGTCCCACAGGAGGTGGCGAGCACAGTCAAACACTCATTTGAGCGGTAAACTAATTTAATTTATTTGCATGTACGACCCTATTTTTCAATTCACTGCTTGATAATGGCCTCCCCATTCCATGCTTGTTATGGGGGTTATATGACCATATTCTACCACGACGGTCAGGGTGGGTTTGTGATGGCAGAGAACATAGACGTATGGTACAATTGATTTTGCTGTACTGCTCTCTGCTGCTCACCCTGTAGCCTAGCGGCCACCTGTAATAGACTGCTGTGCAGGTTGCTCGTGCGTCGAAGCGCTGTGCAGCTCTTTTTAAAATCCTTTATATTAAGTTCGCTTGCTTGCTTGCTTGCTTACGACCATGCAAATATTTCGGTCGTTTTTTAACCCACTTCCCGTGATCCAATCAAGCTGACATTTTGCACACAGACTCGTTGTGTGTGACAATGTATTTTCGTGAAATTTTTTTTCTCCAAAATTTTACACTTTTTAGGAAAAAATAAATTATATTTAATTACCAATTGCTTAATGGTGGCAGGCAATCATCTGACCCATAGGTGGCAGCCATCTCAAGCCAGAGGACGAGAGGACACTAGCCGCCACGCATATAAAGGATTTATAGTGAAAAACTTTGTTTTTACGGGTTAATTTTTTCCTGCTTAGCTTCCAAGATTGTACGAGATTGGGAAAATTGTACGAGATCGCGGGTTCGAACCAGACTCTTGACGCCTGTATATTTGGAGTTTAAATGTTCTCTCCGTGGTTGTGCGAATTCTTCTTCGGGTCCTCTGGTTTCTCCCTCCAAATTTAGAATGAACATCATGCATTTAGAGTATTTGGCTGCTAGAAATTTCCACATAGGCCACTTCGTTGAGCTATCATTTATGGCCAGGTCCTTTCTGAAAAAAGAGCTATATAGCTCAGTGGGCCTTACCTGGTAAAATAAAAAATAGTTTAGTTGAATTACACTTGACGGCCCAAACGCTCACCTGCCACAGGCGGTGCACCTGAAAGTGCGGTCAGAGTGTGGCTTCGTAGAGACACGCGAATCTTCACCGCTCTCAGGAGGGCGGCTCTGAACGCGAGCGTGAACCGATGGCGCACCAAGGGATGCCCCTCCGTGAGGCGGATGCCCTCTCGTGGCCAGGCGCGGCACACGGGGCGAGTCCGAGCTCCAGACCAGTGAAACGAGGTCATGGGTCAGCAGGTGCTTGCGCATCCTCTTCCATTTGCGACCTGCGACCGTATCCAACGTGGTCTCTCGTTAAAACGGAGCATGATCAGAAACGCGCTTCATAAAATGTGAAAAAAAGATGAATTATTTTGTTTGCTTCATTTGCCTAAACGTAACATATTTCATATCGTATGTAAGTAAATGTAATTAATCAATTATCACATTCCATTTTATCCATGATTTGTGTTTGTATGTTTAACTTGTTTTGCGCCGTACTTAGCCAACCGTGCTAATCGGAAGTGCAGGGGAAAGATTTGAATCCATTAATGCTTTCATCTTCTTGGTTCTTTCGGTAAAGTCACGTAGAAGGGAAATAATAAAATAATAAACATAAAACATAATAAAATAATTCTCACGACGTTTCGGCCACAACGCAAGCAGCCGTCCTCAGGTGAAGAACAGGTCTGTCGGAAAGACAGCGTCTGCGTGACTTTACCGAAAGAACCAAGAAGATGAATCCCTGCAGTCACGAAAGCTTTAAATCATTAATGCTTTGTTAGATGCCTACAACTTGATCATGGTTTATAGGGGGAAAATAATAGAATAGGGATACGATTCACATACACGTGGACAATGCAATAAGCAACATGACATGGCGAGTGAATGTCAACAATGCGTGCACAGTGGATGCAATTTACCGGTGAAGTCACAATAGCAGCACTGGAATCCTTGAGGACAGTGACACACCAAATGAACGTCTCTCAGAGGCTCGCTCACAAACATGCGTGGGCACTCCGAGCACCGGAATCGTTTCCCCGATTTCGCTCCACCACATCGCCTGTTGTGCTGCTGCTGCTGCCTCCTTGGGATGCAGACAGTTGCACAGTTGAGAGTTTGCTCCGGCAGTTTCCTGTCCAACTGCTGGTGTACGTTACGCACAACCCAATCCGTGTGATCCTTGAGGAAACACGGGTCCATGAAGGTGGCAGCCTCAGAGCAGCTGCTAACGGCGGGCTGTGAAGTATGAGCACGCCTCTGTGATACGCGCGTTAGCCCCAACTTAACGGGTTTTCTCTCCAGTTTTTTCTTCTTATTAGCAGCTGACTTAGCACAAGACTTTTTGACATTGCGCCGAGGGTGGCTTGCAGGTGGGCAGTCTTTCGGGGATGAAGTTCTGCGTGTGGCCCTCTTCCTCTTTGCACTCGCGCTGGCTGATAAATCAACAACCAAGGAAGAGTAGCACGCCTCCTCTCCGTCTTCTGCTTCTTCGTGTTCAGCCGCTGTTGTATTTCCACCCACGGCATCCAACGCAAAGAATACATTCTTCTTTTCCACTTCAGGGATAGGCCCCTGGCCGCCCAGCTCCACACAGACGTCAGATGTCTTTACAGTCAATCCTGCGCCTTCACACGCCACATTTGGCGGAGCGCACCGCACCTTCACGCCGGGCTCGCCACCAAGGGGCCGCCGAGCCATCGCCGACGTACGGCAGAGGCCAAGCGAGAAAAGGTGCTCCGACTGTGCCTCGTCCGCCTCGTCCGTCTCCTCCGCTTCGTCCCTCGACCTCGGGAGCGGCCGAGCGGCCTCCATCATCGCCTCGAAGAATCCGGCGTCGTCGGCGTCGTCGTGGCAAGCCGCCCACCAGGCCGATCATCTCACACGATGCGGGGCTCAGGCAGCGCAGCATCCGGTCGACCTCGCGGGAAATGCGATCCAGGTTTTCAGGGCCGCATACTGCCGACTCCATCCCACTGCCGGCCTGCTCATTTTCCAGAGCAACGCCTGTTTGGTGTTTGCCCCTGCACTCGACCTGCAGATTACTACTGCCAGCGCTTTCGCCCTTCGTCAAGGTCAGCCTGCACTCCTCGCGATCGAGGTCGTCTCCCAGCTCCGAATGGCTCCCGCACGGCGGCGCCTCCCCGGCCACACTCAAACCAGACGACGCCTTGAGTGAAGCGTCCTCTTCTCCGTGTTCAATGGCTGCGTGCCGCTGCGGAGATTGCGGCGCGTCTTCCCTGACGGGACACGAGCCGATCGCCACCGTGCCATCGGTAGCCGTGTCTGCGGAAGATCCTCCGCATTCATCCATTCCGGAAGAAAACCTTTCGGCAGCCGATGCCGCGTCGGTATCACCGCACGGCTCGGGATCGGCCGATGACAATACCCTGGAAGTGGGAGAAGAAGGAGATTCGCTCAGTGCTGGTGCTGGTGGTGCCGGTTGTGGTGTCGTGGCCAAGCCATCGCTGTGGTTTTGGTGGAGGTGGTCCTGCATGGTGGCGGTAACGCAGCTGGTGAAGAAGCAGCGCCGGCAGCGGTACAGCTCCACCAGGAATGCGTCCACAGCCTTGTGGTCCAGGGTGGGCTCCGTGTCTACTCTCCTGCAGACCCAAACCATCTCGCCGGCCGGCAGAGCCACCCGCACCGCTGCCATCTCCCCCGTCACTTCTCCCTGTGCGGTTAATGCAAAATCACACGCAATGTAAATGTCACGCAATTGGCTTGTAATCAAAATCACTCACCGATGCCTTTTCAGGTCGTAACTGCGGTGTGTTCAAGTTAATTTATCAGGTATAGCCCTGTGAGCCATTCGGCTCTTGAATCGGGTGCAACCGCAACAAACAAAAAACAAAAACATGAACAAAAAACATCTTAAAGTGACTATGTGACTGAGTGCAAACAGAAAATCCAAGAAAAGACAGTAAAATATTGCAGATAAAGCAATCTTGATTTGAAGCTTTCGTGACTGTAGGAATCCGTACTCTTTGGTTCTTTCGGTAAAGTCATGTAGGTAGAAAAATAATAGATCGACGTTTCGATCGCAACACAAGCAATCGTCATCAGGTGGGACAACCACGGCAAAGAAAAACTGCATTTTTTTTCGAAACGTCATGATCTATTATTTTTCTACCAAAGAGTATGCGGTGTGTTGTTCGGCGTGATTTCAGACTATTTCGGTCCATGCGCTGGGAGCTTATGGGAAATAAAACAATATTTAAGGTGTTTCGTGGCCACAAAAGGGTAATCCGGGTGATATAGCAACCACCAGCAACGCCTAAACACACGCATGTACAGATACAGCCCGTTTATCAAACCACTGCCAGGTGAGGGACCTTATAGCGTCGCGTCGGATGCGGAAGCATAGAAGTACAGTACAGTGCACAGGACAACAATTGATTTTGTTCAACTGTACTCTACTTCCACACAAAGCTTAGTTTTTTAGATGTAACGAGATCCCAGATCTGTCGACCCCTTATCAGTGTCCTACCTTATTACAGAACAATAGCGTATTGGTCACCTCGTGCCCCCGTTATAAATCTCAACGTTCATCCTACAAAAAGTCCCATCACAAGCGAGATAAACACAAATTGATCATTTCTGTTATTTTGTCCACATTGAAACGGCTGTAAGCCGTATAGACCTCAAAACTCAATTTCCCCGTACAAGAATACGGGGTAAAACCGTATGGATTGACAGGGTTGTGTGTTATTAAAGAGTGGAAAATAAGAGGAATTGAATGTAATGGTTAGTATTGAATGGTTAGGAATGTAATGGTTAGGATTGTAATGGTTAATATTTGAATGTTTAAGATTGTAATGTTGAAAATTGTAATGTTTAAGATTGTAATGTTGAAGAATGTAATGTTTAAGATTGTAACGTATCCGAATGTAATGTTTAATAATGTAATGTTTAAGAATGTTACGTTTAAGATTGTAATGTTTAATAATGTAATGTTTAAGATGTTTAAGATTGTAATGTTTAAGATGTTTAAGAATGTAATGTTTAAGATGTTTAAGATTGTAATGTTTAAGATGTTTAAGATTGTAATGTTTAAGATGTTTAAGAATGTAATGTTTAAGATGTTTAACAATGTAAAGTTTAAGATGTTTAAGATTGTAATGTTTAAGATGTTTAAGATTGTAATGTTTAAGATGTTTAAGATTGTAATGTTAAACAATGTAAAGTTTAAGATTGTAATGTTTAAGATGTTTAACAATGTAATGTTTAAAATGTTTAAGATTGTAATGTTTAAGATGTTTAACAATGTAATGTTTAACAATGTAAAGTTTAAGATTGTAATGTTTAGTACCGATAGCGATGTCCCCTCAGCAACGCGGCCACCGACTTTGCGAGTCGCGGAGTGATGACATCACGTCCGGTTCACCCTCAAATACCCAACCTCCCCTCCCCTCACCGTCAACTTTTTTGTTATTATCATACAAATTTATTTTTTTGCTTTAACTCGAGCGATTAAACCGATATTTATAACCGTGTCTGTATGTGTGTGTTTAATAAAAAAAAACGCCGTTTTACTTTATTTATAATCACGCGTCATCAAGTCGAGACGCAATGCACAGGACGCACACGTGCGCGCGTGTGTGTGTCTGTGGGTACGAAGACTTCGATAATTTTAAATGTTATTAAGTTAACGTAGTGTACTTTGTTGTTATAACAGTGACCATCATCATCACGCTTATTCCATTTAGTGCGCTAATGTCTCGTGGCCCATGTGTACAACTCGTAACAAGCATACACCAGTTACTGTATTATCACCAGTTTTTGAGGTAAATAACCCATAATGCTGCCTTAGAATAGTATTACAGTTAATATTATAATGCACTCATCTTAATTTGTAACGGATGTGTGTATACAATGTTGTTACCTATAGCGTGACCCAGTCAGCCGGAATTCGCTTGATCTTGGATGCTCCGAAGCAGAAATGGAACCCGGGTTGTAGTTGATTGCATGGGTGTCCACCATGCATACCAGGTGCTATAGGCTGCTGTGGGGCTGTGTGGTGGGACAAGCAGAGGGCAGCAAAGTCCATTGTTGTAAATTCTAGATTTGAAGCTTTCGTGACTGCAATGATTCATATTCTTAGGTTTTTTCGGTAAAGTCACGTAGGTTAAAAAAAAACTTTTTAATGTTTTTACCTACGTGACTTTACCGAAAAAACCTAAGAATATGATCCATTGTTGTAGTGTACTTCTGTGCTACAAATGTGTTTAACCCCCGCCTTCAAATCCACCCCCTTCAACCCACACTGCACAATGTGGTGAGGTATGGTCAAATAACCCGTACGACCCACACGAGGCCCTCATCCAGCAGTGGATATGTACGTGTGTTGTATGTAATGGGTGTAACTTAGCAATGCTATAAAATAAACCAACTGTTGATAGGTAATGGTCACTGACTTTAGATTAGTCATACACAGGCTGACCTATTGCTGTCCTGGTGTCTTTAATGTAACTTCAAAACGTACTTTAAAAAACTCACAAATGTTTTCTCATGAACGAAGACATCAATGTTTGTAACTGCCCATTCAAACTGTGTTCGAAAAGCTTTGGGATCGAAAGGGCTAAATGTTTCCACCCTGTCGTGTCGTGTGTAAAGTACATGAACAAGCTGCCATGCTGCAAGCTATCTCCAAGCACCCGGGCTTCAAGCTCGTCTGCGAGAAGTCCCACTTTGGCAACGAGAAGTCAAAGCATGACCGGCATCTCAAAGACCATCACTTCGTCTACAAGGTGTTGTTTTCATTGTGCGGTCATCGTTGACCAAGCTGGGACCAATGTCACACTACCGCTTTATTGGGGTGCCTCGGTTGGCGAGATGTGAACTACCTCGCCAGGTATACAGGAGGTCGTGGGTTCGATCCTAACCCTGACGCCTGTGTATTTGGAGTTTGCATGTTATTCCCATGGTCGCGTGGATTTTTCTCCACATTTGGAAACATGTGTTTGTAGTATTTGGCTGCTATAAATTTCCACACGATAAGCCACCTCATTGGGCTATCGTTTCTAGCCAGGTCGCTTCTGAAAATAAGCTATATAGCTCGGTGGGCCTTACCTGGTAAAAAAAAAAAAATGTAGTTTCATCGCATGCGGCTTTACCAACATTCAGACGAAGAATCTCAGCGATGCTGGCTCAGACCTCTGAGCCATCCGACCGTCTTATAATAATGCAATTTATAACGCGCGCAAAATTTGCGGACGTAACGGCCGCAACTCAGAGGCGCGGAGCCAAGCTCAGAGTCACTCGAAAGCACGTGGTTATAGAGGTGAGTCTTTAAGTGTCTCTTGAAGGAGGCGATTGAGGTGATGCTACGAATGTGCAGAGGGATAGCGTTCCAGACTGTTGGGGCTGCCACCCAGAAGTGGCGCATAGACATGACCATCCTGGATCTTGGTATCAAGAGGAGGTCGTGAGTTGCGCTGCGCAGGCATCTGCCGTGTGCTGAGCTGCAAGTCGTCAATAATGAAGAAAGGTACGGCGGGCAGGTAGATGTGAAGGGATGGTGGCAGAGGCAGGCGATCTTGTATGCAAGTTTAAATACTCATTTGAAAGCCATACCGCACTTTACATCGGTTCTAATCGCATTGTCAATTGTAATTTGCATGTTAGGCAAAACACACGCCTGGCGCTAGTTACGGCAGAACAGGATTTGCAACACTTTGCCTTTTAAGATACTCCACAATACGTGTGGTTTTGCAGAGCTTTTTGCATTGATGGAGTTGTATTCAAATATACATATCAAATGTCTAAACTTGTTTAACATCAGCTGCTGAGAATAAGGATTTCCATTTATAAGGCACTTCAATGCCTAAGAAAATGTAAATATCTTCCATCACATTTCAACCATTCCAACTCTGCTGCAGTCTAGCCAAGGGGACCCAAGTGGCAGCTGTCGGGTGTGGCATAAGGTGTACACATCACCAGTCAGCAAATGAGCATAATTCTGCCTTAAGGGTGACGATCTTCCAATGGGGGTTTGTCCCAATTAAATAATTACGAGTATACTGTTACATTTGGACCATGATGCCAGTACACATGGCCTACACTTTTCAAAAGTTAAATAATCTTTGACGGCAAATTAAACGGTGAGGCCCAAGTGAGAAGGCAGCTTGAGAATCAAGATGTGGAGTCCGCAGCCTCTGCGTGTGCCCCGTCTTCCCAGGTGGAGGTATTCATACCAGAGTGCCAACTGCTACCCGAACCCATAGCCGCCCTGTGCAAGGAGGTCAACCCTTACCTCCGGGTTCGGGGCGTCCCAGCGGCTGCCTTCCTGCGACCAGACTTCATTCAGCAATTCGTCTCCCAAGGTCAGCAATGGTGTGTGATTTACATAAAAGACACAATTCATGGGGCCACCTTTGCCAGGTACCAAAATATGAGAATAGGTTTTCCCTTCTTTTCTGGCACTGTTTGAGACTTGGCTCGAAAGAAAGCTGTCTCTGGTGTGAACCAATCAGTTTCAAAGACAATGCATATATTATCAGAGTATGTTTTTTGTTTGCATTCTGCCCACAAGTATTGTGGTTAATGCAGACATGATTCCTTGTAAAAGGTTTCAGTTTGGTGTTTTAACATCTTAATGCCTGTTTTGTTGCCAGAAAAAAGGGGAAAATCGATTCTCAAGACAAAATTCCTTGACTGGTTGTACTGTATAGATCTACAATGTATTTTTGGGTTGTACCGCATATTCAGCATTACGTCAGAAGTTTTTTTGCTGAAAGCTTCTTCACGAACTGAATCGGGTACCTGAGGAAGCGCCACCACGTGGAGCGAAACGTCAGACATCATCTTCTTGGTTCTTTCGATAAAGTCACGTAGAAGGGAAATAATAAAATAATAAAAATAAAACATAATAAAATAATTCTCACGACGTTTTGGCCACAACGCAAGCAGCCGTCCTCAGGTGAAGAATTCAAACGCTGTCTTTCCGACAGACCTGTTCTTCACCTGAGGACGGCTGCTTGCGTTGTGGCCGAAACGTCGTGAGAATTATTTTATTAGGTTTTATTTTTATTATTTTATTATTTCCCTTCTACGTGACTTTACCGAAAGAACCAAGAAGATGAATCCCTACAGTCACGAAAGCTTTAAATCTAAAAAAAAAAGTCAGACATCATGCCGAACAACACGCGGTACAACTGAACAACACATCAGAAAAAACTATGATCTGCCATTGTCCAAATGTCCATAATGAAAAGTCTTAAGAGTTTTGCGTTATTCTTTACAGGGGCGATTTATGCATTGTCTTACAACACTCGGATAGACCAGGACAACACACTGGCCCTGCTGCCAACAGGTAAGCCAGCTGCACACAACTCTACAGATATCAGTACAACTAAACAACAATTACGTATTCAGGACTCGCTGAGTCACCAGGTCTTCAAACTTTTACATTTTCATTTGATTCCTACATCAAGATGTTTGGCCAATTTTTTTTTTTAAGTATGTTGCATAGAGAAGGAAACCAGAATACAGCAAAACCTTGGATTGTGAGCATAATTCGTTCCGGAAACGTGTTTGTAATCCAAAGCACTCGTGTATCAGTTGTGATCACGTGACACTGGGCAGACAAAGCATATACACGTACTACTCGTATTGCAAGACCTCGCTCGTTTATCAAATTAATATTTATTTTAAAATTTCGCTCGTCTTACAAAACACTCGCAGACCAAGTTACTCGCAATCCAAGGTTTCACTCTACTCGGAGAAAAGTCACACCTATAGGAGGGATAGCACACCAACGTCCACACAGACAGGTCATCACGAACCCACTTGTTACACTGACATCTGATTCCCAACTTGCAGTGCATTAAGAAATCTGCATGATCCACCATCCCTAAGAATCAGAATCTTTATTTTTCCGGGAGGAATTCGAAGAAGATCTACCAATGCATTCACAACAACGATTCTATTAACTCCGACTATAAACTCCCCAGCCTAATGGACGTTATGAAAGCAACACCTGGAGTTTAGGAACAGCTGATTAGGGACTATGTGCTCAGTGATGTGACATTTGTGTGTTTGCGCTTGCAGGAACGTTGATACTGAGTGTGACCAAAGACACGTACGAGGAGCTTGGGCTGCAGGGTCAGCCGTCGCAGTACACCGGCCGGAAGCCCCTCCGATATGGTAACCGTTCACCTTGCTTATTCATGCCTTCCCAGTACCTCGGAGATTAAACTAAACTTGCTGTCAATGAGTTAAAATCCAGGATTGTACGATGTTATACTGGTAGGAACCTCCTGGTTACACCAACCCACAGGGGATTATTGTGTCCGTCGTGCAGGCAGGGGCTGGGTAGGGAGGGAGGAGCTGGGTTGGGAGGGGCTGGGTGGGGCTGGGTGGGGAGGGTAGGGAGGGGCTGGGTGGGGATGGGTGGGGAGGAGCTGGGTGGGGAGGGGCTGGGTGGGGAGGGTGGGGCTGGGTGGGGGGTGGGAGGGGTGGGGCTGGGTGGGGAGGGGCTGGGTGGAAAGGGGAAGATGGGGAGGGGCTGGGTGGGGAGGGTGGGGCTGGGTGAGGAGGGGCTGGTCACCCCGTGGTGCCCTTATAAAACTCAACGTTTAACCTACTCACGCCGGCTTGTGCCCGCCCTCACAGTCGGGCATATTTGCGGAATACACCACGCCGCCATTGACCCTGGCCATTTACCGAGCAACCCAACGTTCCTACCAGCTCCCTCCGCAGGACAATGTGTTCTCCCTCACAGGAGCTCGTGGGTGTGATCCCGACCCTGACGCCTGTATCTTGGACTTGCCATGTTCTCCCCGTGGTTGTGTGGATTTTTCTCCAGGTCCTACGATTTTTTCCTCCACTTTTAGAAACATGAGTTGACAGTTTTTGGCTGCTATAAATTTCCACATGATGAACCACTTCATTGGGCTATCATTTGTGATAGCCAGGTCACTTCTGAAAAAAAGCTACATCGCTCAGTGAGCGTTACCTGGTCAAATAAAGTTTTTTATTTTCAGTCTGTACCAATTGGATTAAACAATTCAGGCGATTGATGAAAACATGTTTTCTTTGCACTTTACATATGACCCTGCAGGTCACAGAGTGAGCACTTGAAAAGCCAGGATTATATTTTGACGGGGGTCCATTTAATCTTTGTTGTCTTGAACAACTTCCCATTGTTTGTTATCATTGTCAATGGTCCCTTAACCATGGGGGTAATGGAGTTGCCATTGGTGCTTGGGAAATCACGTTTCACAACCTCTTTCATTATTTTGTGATATGCACAACGTTCTGCTGCTGATCTCCCTTCCCTAAGTCGCTCCTTGGCCAACATGCTCTTTCCTCTTCCCTCCGACTTTGCTCAACAGGATGATGTAAATTTCGATTTAAAGCTTTCGTGACTGCAGGGATTCATCTTCTTGGTTATTTCGGTAAAGTCATGTAGAATGGAAATAATAAAATAAAACATAATAAAATAATTCTCACGACGTTTCGGCCACAACGCAAGCAGCCGAAACGTCGTGAGAATTATTTTATTATGTTTTATTTTATTATTTCCATTCTACGTGACTTTACCGAAAGAACCAAGAAGAGGATGATGTAAAGTTGTTGAACTTCTTTCGCACCGTACGTAACCAACCATGCTAATCGAGTGACACAGCCAAACCGTTGCAGCTTTCCCCTCCCAAGTATTGCCAGTAGTGGTTTGTGTAACCAAATCATTTTAGTCACCTCCTTCGCATTATACCTATCCATTGTTTTCCCCGAATGCACCTGTGACATCCACACTCCGTTCCCATTCTCTCCACTCTGCCCCACACTGATTCCACTTTGTCTCTCCCGTTCATTGCTTCTGTTTCTCAAACTTGCTTTGCCCTGGGTTTTGCATCGCCGGTAAGCCATGGAGAACGTCAGCACGACCTGAGGTTCCTCGCCAATTCACCGGTCTCCCTGCCCTGCTCCGCAGTGATCAAGCTGCAGCTCACTGAACCCTCGATGGCCCCAGGAAGGAAATGCTACGAGCGAGCTGTGTGGGCCCTCTCCGAAAAGGTGCCCTTGCGCTTCGATGTCCTCGTCAGCTGGCAGCCGCCTGGTGGGTCCCTCAATTCGTGCCGTCCTCTTTAGGGAGCCGCAGTGGCGAGATGTTAACTACCTCGCCTCGGTATACAGGAGGTCGTGTGTTCGATCCTGACTCTGACGCCTGCAAATTTGGAGTTTGCATGCCTCTCTCCTCCTTATTCGGGTTTTCCTGTTTTCCCCTCCACGTTTAGAATCAACATGCGTATTTAGTATTTGGCTGCTATACATTTCCACATGATAATGCGCTTCGTTGAGCTATTGTTTGTGGCCAGGTCGTTTTGAAAAAAATCTATATAGCTCAGTGGGCCTTACCTGGTAAACAATTTTTTTTTTTTTGTTTAGTTTACAAAAATGTACACAGCCCTTTGTCAGGCCACTGATTTTGAGGGCCCTTCCCTCATTTGACCACGCTGGTCAGCGTGGTTTGATGTAGAAGTACAGAAATGGGTTTTTCTGCACTACGTTCTTCTGCCCACGATGTGGCTCCTCGGCCTATATCGACAACCTGTTGTTCATGGGGGTCTACAATCAAAGCACACGCAAGACTCAAATGCCTGCTTAGCTTCGCAAGTCCGGCAAAATTGGGCACATTTCAGGTGATTAAGCGCACTATTAATACAAAAAAATTCCCCTAAGCCTTTGTCTTTCTCTTACCCTCTACTAATCCTTGCACTGCCTGTTCTCTCAATGTGACGGTGATGCCGCCTACACGATCGCACCGTCAAGAAGGGAAGTCGGCAAAGGCACCCGCAAAGTTCTTTGCCGAATGGGACTGCAGGGAGGTGCGTGCGGACGTGACGGTGAGGCCGGTGGCCGCGCGGGCCTGCCCCGCGCTCGACAGCCTCAGCCTCCAGCCAGAAGACGGGGCGGCCTGTGGGGCCCAAGACTTCTTTGATTGGCTGGGAGCTGTGTCATGTGACGTAGACTGGTGAGCGTGCGATTGGCAGGGAGGTGAGCGTGTGTCAGAACCACGGAAGAAATGTGTGCACGTGCAATGTGGGCAGCCGAGGACAGTGAGGTCAAATGAATTGTTGTCGTGTACTTATTTGCTCCTGTGTTTATGCACTCTACCGACCAACATGGTGAAGTACTAGTACAGCCCTTGGTCAATTCACTGCTAGATGAAGGCCTACTCATGCCGCGTGAGTCGCGAAGTTATTTAACTATAATTCACCACACTGATAAGTGAAATTTAAATACTGTGAAAGCTATAGCTCCGTTGTTCACGGAAGAAAATTGGTGGGATACATGTCGATGCTTTTAAATAAAATCTTATTTGATTAACTTGGGGAGGCCTTCAACCAGCAGTGGATTCACCATGGCTCCTGCTGATGATTTTGATAAACGTGAATGGATCACCTTGTATATGCAACTTGTAGTATGTTGTGAAACTCCTTTCCTGTGGGTGTCAAGTTGCCATACCCTGGCTTTGGTAGAAGGCGGTACAGCAAATGAAGACTACATCTCTTTTTGGTTCTTTCGGTAAAGTCACGTAGAAGGGAAGTAATAAAATAATAAAAATTTAACATAATAAAATAATTCTCACGACGTTTCGGCCACAACGCAAGCAGCCGTCCCCGACAGACCTGGTCTTCACCTGAGGACGGCTGCTTGCGTTGTGGCCGAAACGTCGTGAGAATTATTTTATTATGTTTTATTTTTATTATTTTATTACTTCCCTTCTACGTGACTTTACTGAAAGAACCAAGAAGATGAATCCCTGCAGTCACGAAAGCTTAAAATCGAAAATCGAAAGACTACACCTGTTGAGTCTGCATGGAATAGAGTGTTGCCCCTTCGCATGCGTGGTGTTTCCTCTGGGTGGTGCGGCCACATGTAAACACACATTATTGCCTGCTAACATACAGGACCGCAGGAGATAGAGGGGGAATTTTGTACCAGCTCCAAGTTAAAATTAGCATTATTATTATAACGGATTAATTCATTTTAAAAACATCGTTCGATTTGATCTCTCGCGCAGCTCCAGTGACAGCTCCGCGTCGATGAGGTGCCCGGAGCCAAGCCTGCCCATGGGCCCGAGCCTGCTCTGCTCCATCACGGGTCTGATTCGGCCCGACACCGCCATCCGCCTCCTGTCCGCTCTCAGGTGCTTGCGAGTTCCCCGCCATCCCCGGAAGCACTGCTTACCCAGTAAACACGTGACGTTGGGGCAGTGTTGGTCCAAAGCTTCCGACTACATGGCGACATTGGCCAAACGTTGCATTTTTAAATCCTTTATATTAAGTTCGCTTGCTTGCTTGCTTGCGTGCTTGCGTGCTTGCTTGCTTACGACCGTGCAAACCTTTCGGTCGTTTTTCAACCCACTTCCCGTGATCCAATCGAGCTGACATTTTGCACATAGACTCGTTGTGCGAGACAATTAATGTTCGTGAAAATTTTTTTCCAAAATTTTACACTGTTTAGGGAAAACAAATTAAATATTTAATTACCAATTGTTTAATACTGCAGACAATCATCTGACCCATAGGTGGCAGCCATCTCAAGCCAGAGGACGAGAGGACTCTAGCCGCCACGCATATAAAGGATTTAGAGTGAAAAACTTTGTTTTTATGGGTTATACTTATTACTGGGTAGTATCCGATATCTGATGAGATGAGAATGCCAACAGATTTGGTCATTAGTCAATCAATTGGTAGCCTTAACTTCTGAATACAAACTCATACGTTGCAGAGAATCATGGGTTAAACAAGGGCTCCACACTGGCGTTATATTAACTACCTCGCCTGGTATACAGGAATGCGTGGGTTCGATCCCCGACCCTGACGGCTGCTGTATATTTGGAGTTTGCATGCCTCTCTCCCCCTAGTCTCGTGTATTATTTTTTTTCACTGCACATTTAGGAGCAAGCATTTAGAGTACTCACTACACTTGAGACCTCTGTTTAATCAAAGGCGGCTTACTTGGATTAGAACCCAGCGTCTCGTCCCATCAGTGCCAGCTCAGTGCTTTGCCCTCTGAGCCACCCGGCCACCTTCACTCCAGTTATAATTTCAGTACCTCGTGCATGCACACCATTATTTTCGCATTGAAGATCGTACAGTGTTTTTCAAAAAGTACTCACGATTTCAAGGTAGTGTTTTATATTACCCCCCCCCCCTGAAAATAACGTGTTATTCATCGAGCGTCAAAATTGCCGAGTACAGTAAAACCTTGGATTGCGAGTAACTTGGTCTGCGAGTGTTTTGCAAGATGAGCAACATTTTTAAATAAATATTAATTTGATAAACGAGCGAGGAGGTCTTGCAATACGAGTAGTACGTGTATACGCTTTGTCTGCCGAGCGTCACGTGATCACAACTGATATACGAGTGCTTTGCATTACAAACACGTTTCCTGAACAAATTATGCTCGCAATCCAAGGTTTTATTGTATATTACTCGGAGCTGAAAACGTTATCTGAAGCAGCGTTCAAACCTTTAGCGGCCAGTAGGGGGCGTTAGACTGCCTCGTGTGTGACGCTAACGGTAAACCCCATCGGGGTCGTGGGGGAACAGAACAGAGGTCACAAAAGGGCAGAGGAGTGGAATAATTTGTGCCTCCAGCGAGTGAGAGCCACGAGGAGATACACAATTTATAAACAAGCCTGGAAATTAGTTTCAGTGGCAAGACTGCAAACAGTAAGAGGTAAATAATGCATCAACATGCATTTTTTTTAAATTGTTTATTCATTTGTATGCTTGCATGGTGAGTAATTTTAAACGCGAAATGTTCAAATATAATATTACATCTTCACGGATTTATGACTACATCATGTTCAGGGTGGAGGCATAGCAAGGTTAGTGAACTGTGTTCTGAACCTAGCACCCCGAGTTCCATTCCCAGCCTCAGCTGACATCATTGGTGAATGATATCTGAACTGGAATTAAGCTTTTTTTTATTTAAAGCTTTCGTGACTGCAGGGATTCATCTTCTTGGTTCTTTCGGTAAAGTCACGTAGAAGGGAAATAATAAAATAATAAAAATAAACGTAATAAAATACAATTCTCACGACGTTTCGGCCACAACGCAAGCAGCCGTCCTCAGGTGAAGAATAGGTCTGTCGGGAAGACAGCGTCTGAATTATTTAGTAATGTTTTATTTTTATTAATTTATTATTTCCCTTCTACGTGACTTTACCGAAAGAACCAAGAAGATGAATCCCTGCAGTCACGAAAGCTTTAAATCGAAACATGACCGCTCTGTTTGATTGTATGACGACCCCCCCCCCCCCCCTCTCCGGCAGGCGTTACTTTGAGGAGCCAAAGCTGGCGTGCTGGGCGACGTTGACTGCGCACGGCTTCGCCGACTCGCCCGTGTCATGGGCAAGCTTGGAGCACGGCTTCCACAAGGGCGGAGAGAACCTGCAGACCCTGCTCGCCTTCGCCAACGGAAACTACTGGCTGCTCCGCGCAGTCGGCACCAACGATGGATGCCCGTCCTGACGGGAACGCGGGCCCTGTGAACGATGACATCCGTCAGCTGGGCAGCAGCCACCGCCGATGGCACGCGCGCCCTCCGGAGGCCGCACGGACTGAGTTAGGAATGTAAAATGTTTTGTATGTAGCAATAAAGCGTAATTGTACGAGACTGTAAGTGCGAGCTGTTTAAACTTTTTACGCAACCGTAGTCGCGTGCGTTTTTGTGGACCCCACCGCGTGTCGTGTCCGTAACTTTTTCTGGGTCGCTTGTGTTGTACTGGGATATAGATGGGTCTGGCTTGTAGCACATGGATGAGAGCATATAATAGAGGTATGCAATTAATTACGAAGAGGTTTATGGCTGGTGGCCAAGACTCGCATCAAGAGTGGCAGCCAAAGAAGGGAACAAGCCCAAGATGGCATCCACTTGTAAGACGAAGCAATTGGCTCGTCTTGTTGTACAAGTTGCGAGATGGATTGTTACATGGCAGGAACATAAGAGGTGGCGATTGCTTTGGGAGGTATTCATCTGGCAGTGGATTGATCATGACGGATGGTGAGGACAACTGCGTCCAATGCGCTCCCCCCCCCCCCCCCCCCCCTTTGCCGTTGGTGAGCCATATGGCCGGCCACCAAACTCATTTCTAGAACGCACGCTTCACTGCCTCTCCGCGTTTCAGTGTCGTCATTTCACAGCCACTCGACTCCACACAAACGTCCGTCGCAATGCGACAGCGTTAACCGAGTAATGATTAACCCGCCGCAGTCAACCGAAGCCGAGGATGATCTAAAAAAAATGTTGCCGGTCCCTTAATGATTACAAAGTAAGTTAGACCTCCCGCTACTACGTGAAAGTACAAATTCAAATGCAGCCGGCACCTTGGCCACCAGTTGGTTAGGTTTCGGTCGCTGCCTGGAGAAATGAGCTCTGGACCAGGTTATCGGAACGAAAGTGACATCAAATTTGGGGTGTCTGGCACATCATGGCCACCGACTCCTCTTGGGGCAGCGTGTGGGGTTTTGTCTGGGAGCCCACGGCCCAAACGACACAGGAGGAGGAGGAGAAGGACAAAGAGACAGGACGGCAACACGAGCGAGGGGAAAGCGGCGGCGGCGAAGGGACGGAAGCTCCCTGGCGTCGCGCTTTTGTTGACTGAAGGTTCTGGAGATTCGTTCCAGATCTGCAGCCTGAAGGTAAGAGGGCCTTCAGTGCACGTCTGTTCAGTTAGGGAGCGGCAGTGTAGCGGTTAGAGCGCTGCGCTACTGAACCCAGCAACCCGAGTTCGATTCCCGCTTACCAGTGACGAGTATCTGAACCGGTTCTGGGCCTCCCCTAGGTCGACTCAGCCTCACATGAGTACCTGGTGCAGTGTAAACATCGCCACTGGGGGAAGACAGGTGGCCAGGTGTGGTGCTGGCCACCCACCCCGGCCTTCATAGGTGTCAATTCTAGATTGAAGCTTTCGTTACTGCAAGGATCCATACTCTTAGGTTTTTTCGGTAAAGTCACGTAGGTAAAAATAAAATTAAAAGTAATAGAAATAAAATTGTATTTTATTTCTATTATTTTATTATTTTTATTAATAAATAGTTTAAAGCGATTTGAAGAATGTTTTATTTTCAAAATGGGAATATGGTTTTTGGGGGGGGGCAGAGCTTTAGCTTTGTGACGTCATATTTGAGGGGGGGTCTGACTTTTTGTGACACCGTGTGACGAGGGGGGGGGGGGGTAAAAAAATCGTCCAAAATCGCGTGACGTCATTTATGGACGGCCCCCAAGGAGGCTGCTACAAAGAGTAGTGCTCTCTCTTTTAGATTTGAAGCTTTCGTGAAAACTGCAAGGATTCATCATCTTTGTTTTTTTCGGTAAAGCCACGTAGGTAAAAAATAAAATAAATGAAAACAACTAAATTAAATCACGACGTTTCGGGCGCAACACAAGCGTCCTTCTTCAGGTGGGGGACAACGCAGCGAAAGCACAACGGCTTAATTATTTCATTTTTTACCTCCATGACTTCCTGAATAAACCAAAGAGTCGTGCTTTCTCTGTACGTTGTGCACGATGAAGATGACGCTAACTAACCAGCCTTTCGTGCTGCCGAAAACCACGGGCCAGGCGGGAGGAGGCTGCGGCGGTGGCGGCGGTGGCGACGCAGAGGACTCATCGCCCGTGCGTCGTCGGCACGTAGGAGTCGAGAGCCCGAGTGCGCCTGCCTGGGGCAGCCTGTGCCGGCACGTGGCGCAATGGCCGCTGTCCACGTGGGGCGGCCATGCCTCGCCGCTCCTGCGCTGCACCGGCACCGCGCTCTCTGTTGCCACGGCGACGGAGCACAGGGGGGTCCACGGGTGCGCGCGCGCGCACTCACTCAGCCGTTGATGCCCCCCCACCCACCCTGACCCCGACCTCCTGACATCACATTTACCACCCCTGCGATGTATTTATTACTTATTTTCTCAAACTCTTAGGTTTTTTCGGTAAAGTCACGTAGGTAAAAAAATAAAATAAAAATTTATCAAAGTAAATTAAAAAAATATATCATAATATGATATCTTATATTTCGATTTAAAGCTTTCGTGACTGCAGGGATTCATCTTCTTGGTTCTTTCGGTAAAGTCACGTAGAAGGGAAGTAATAAAATAATAAAAATAAAACATAATAAAATAATTCTCACGACGTTTCGGCCACAACGCAAGCAGCCGTCCTCAGGTGAAGACCAGGTCTGTCGGGGAGACAGAGTCTTATTATGATAAAAAAAAGTCGTAGCCAGGGGCCTACCCTGGCTCCTCCCCCCTCAACCAGTATCTATACAAGGTCGGGTCTCTTGGAATTTCTCTTTACTTGATACAGCAATCGTGCTGTGACGGTTCCACCTGAAGACGGAAGCTTGTGTTGCCTCCGAAACGTCGTGATTTTTTATTTTACCATAATTAATTTTATTCTTATTTTTTACCTACGTGACTTTACCGAAAAAACCTAAGAGTATGAATCCTTGCAGTCACGAAAGCTTCAAATCTAGAATTCTTTCTCAAGTCACTCATTTCAAAATGTCACAGATGGCCTCGAGCTGCTGAAGGCTAAGAATACTGGATGATGTTCTGTGCCCCTAGTTATATCAGACACTGGGCACGTTCATAGACATGCAGCCAGGGGTGGATTTCAGCTTGGTCCGTTTGGTTCTGCAAACATGAATCACATTTCCGGCACACCGCATCTAACGTACACAACATCACTTTGACTGTGGCCACGACTCGTCACGTACCACCCGCTACAGTGTCCGAGTGACTTGGAAATAATTCAGTGAGAAATGATTGAGCCCCGGTGGAAACGATCCATCATCCTCCATCGCCGCTGCCACCTCTATCGCGGTTCGATTAAATTTACGTTTTTCGGTGTCACGATGCCATTTAAGGATTATTCGTTTTTCGTTGTGGCTCACGTGGCATCTATTGCGCCTGTAGAGTTTGTTTGTCCTAGATACAAATCGAAAACATCCCCACACAGTGATGGATCGTGAGTATAACAATCAATTTTAATTGTCAAATAGATGCATTGTTATTTGTCTAATTAGTTAGCCTTGGTTGCTTGGTGCTGGCAGACTGGAGACAAGCTTTAATGTTACAGGTTTTTTTCACATTTGTTTGTCAAAACTTGTGAAAGCAATGACATAACGTTCACTCAAATAAACACACGCCGACACAGCTGCTTCTGCGCGCCAAAATGTGAAAAAACATTTGTTACCGTTTTTGGTGTGAAAATTAACCGGGACAGAAAATGGCCAGATGGACCTCATTAAAATAAATAAACGGACAGCAAGAGAGGTCCAGGGCCAGCATTTCCGAGATCCTGGGTTTTAATCACAAGCGTAGCGAGTTGATCTCATCTTGGTTACTGATTACTGCACACAAAAAAACATTCAATTTGGATTATCACAATTTGGATTATTTTTGGCAAAAAATGCAAAAGTAAATGTTTTGGTCTGACCGCCATTTGACAAAATCTCGAGAGGAGGGCGTGTAGGAAAGTGCAGCACCCTCTAGTCTTGATTAAGAGGTCACGAACAAAAGTGGTGTCAGAAGTAGTTCTTTGATATCTCCTTCCACAGACCTGTGAGAGTGCCACATGGACAGCCGATAGCACAATTTGAATAATATTGTGGAATAAGATTATTAAGTATATTTAAAAAAAGAAAAATCCTGATAGCCCTGAAAACAATCTGGGACAATTAGTTGATTAAAGCAAATATATATAATCGGCTACTCTTTTTGTGGTCGATTACTTGGATATTTAAAAAATTAACCCGTAAAAACAAAGTTTTTCACTATAAATCCTTTATATGCGTGACGGCTAGAGTCCTCTCGTCCTCTGGCTTGAGATGGCTGCCACCTATGGGTCAGATGATTGCCTGCCACCATTAAGCAATTGGTAATTAAATATAATTTATTTTTTCCTAAAAAGTGTAAAATTTTTGAAAAAACATTTCACAAAAATAAATTGTCACGCACAACGAGTCTGTGTGCAAAATGTCAGCTCGATTGGATCACGGGAAGTGGGTTAAAAAACGACCGAAAGATTTGCACGGTCGTAAGCGCGCAAGCAAGCAAGCAAGTGAACTTAATATAAAGGATTTAAAAATGGCAGCCGCTCCCACAAGCTACGCTTTGCACGACGCCACTGATGACGTATATATGTTGAACTTTTTCGCACCGTATGTGGCAAACCGTGCTAGACTGTCCATTGTCACACCAGGCAATGGAGGAAAGAATTCCTTTCACTATCTTTTATCCCTAAAATCTTGACTTAAAGCTTTCGTGACTGCAGAAATTAATATTCTTGGGTCTTTCGGTAAAGTGACGTAGATAGGTAAAAAAAAATAGCAAAAAATAAGCAGCTAGGCAGACGACCTACGCGTTATTTTTTGTTATTTTCTTTGATCTTATCTACGTGACTTTACCGAAAGACCCAAGAATATATTTTATCCGTTTAGTCGAGTAATCGAACCGATAACCAGTCCAGTAATCGGTTACTTAAATAACCGGATATCCCGTCTCTACGCCGCCTGCTGAGATGCTTCTGAATCACCTCCGTGGCAGCTAAGCTGACGACGTACGCGTAGGCACGGCAACAAGAGTCTGCAATCTTGTCCTCTCGTTGCGCAGTAGGTCA